TATAAGTTTTTTTTGCTAAAGACATCTTATTATAAGTTCTCTCATAATATAGAGGTTGTATGATTTTCCTTCCAAGTAAAATTATTTCATTTTTTCTTATAACATTCATTTTAATCATTTTAAGGGGTGAAGATTCTGCAGATCTGAAATTTTTTCTCTGACTGATCAGATTGATTTGATACATCTGGGTATTGCTTGTTCTTTGTCATTTAAAAAACAATTTATGTTAGATCAAAAAAAAAAAAAAACACAATTTATGCCTTCCTTGACCTCCTGTCAGGTCTTTTTATATATATCACTTTCAGAGCTATTGTATAGACATACATTCCCATCTATACGTCTCATGGTTTCATTTTAGATAAATTTCCTCACTTTTTTTCCCTATTAGTCTAATTCGTTGAACTAATTATAATTTTGCAAGATATATATATATATATATATAAAACTAACTATACATTTAGACGTAGCCAAACCTCCAGATATATAAAATTTTGGGATGGTCAAGGTGGATATTTTTGGATTATATCTCCATTCCTAAACATAACAATAACAACAACAAAACAGAGGAGAAAATAAAAAGAAACAGACACTTTGTATTTTTACGTAATTATATATACTATTGTATGTTGTAAGCAAGAAAAAAAAACATTAAAAAGGAAAGAAAAAAAATACCAAAACAGCTATAAAAAATCAGGCAAAAACAGAGGGCATCTGAAAGAAGCAAGTTGTCTCCTACTGTGTCTTTCTACACTCTCCTTCTACGCATACGTATTCGCACACTCTCCTATGTACGGACTATTTTATCAATTTATTGTCCATTTAAAGTTAAATACATTCTCCATAACAAAATATACTGTATTTATATACATATATGATCGACCGGACATCATTGTACACTGAATATACACCCCATTCCCACGCATTATATGTACACTGAACACACCCTAATTCACACATATCGGTTGTTTTTATCTACTTTCATAATCGTTATGGTATGACATAATTACTAATTGAGAAAGATCAACGTATTTATGAGTAATGGATAAATATAACACATCCACTTCAGCGGTAAATAAATAAACTCGAAGATCCAGTACACCATAAGATGTTTGGTTTCATTTATTAATTGCATTAATTAAGTTAGCTAGTTAGAGGACTCTTAGTTTTAGTGGCTACTATAAGAAGAAAATGACTATAAAATTCTCATTTGTCTTTTGAACAATTTAGATGCTTGATCAGAAATCTGGACTCAAAAGGTTCAAAGATAAGAAAACAAAAATCTGGACTCAATACCAAGGTGCCCTTCAGAAATTAAATATCTATTTCTCATCATTTTTATTATTTTTTTACAACACCTTCGATCAACTATGAATCTATGATCAAAGAAATATATTTAATAATCGTTCTTGGAGTCTTGACCAAAGTTCTGATATTACCAAAAACAGGCTAGATATATATACCAAAATAAAAATAAACAATCACGATAGAAAAATAAATATTTACAGGAAGAGCACAGTTACATCTTAACTGTCAAATATATTATAAAATAGAATATTCATTATCAATTATATTTTTAATTTTGCACGTACAAACTAAAAATCGAGTGGCTACCTACTGTAAGCCATGTTTGCGTAACGTCATAGGGTAATAAAATAATTTGCACGGTTTCTTCTTGACCTTCGGTTTGGATCGTCCTTCTTAAATACTCTTTTATTATTATTTGTTATCTTTCTGCTTATTCAGAAAATATTATTCACTGATATATGTTGACCACGTCAAAGGTTTTATTGATAAAATCATATATCGTCCTTCTTAAATACTCTTTTATTAATTATTACTATTATTTGTTATCTTTCTTCTTATTCAGAAAATATTATTCACTGATATATGTTGACCATGTCAAAGGTTTTATTGATAAAATCATACATGTAGAATATATATAAGATATTAATTGTTGGTTATTTATTTACTAAGTTAGTGAAATTTTACTTTTTGGAGTTATTTATCAGTTATTCAAGTTATTAAACGATGAAGAAGTATCCATTGGTTCCAAAATATTAAATATTATATAAAACTATGAAGATTAAAAACTATTTTTAAAAACAAAACATCATTTAGTAATTAAGTAATTATTAAAACATAATTCAGCCGATCATAAAGAAAGATATAAAATTTACAGATTTAAATATATCCAATATTAAAACCTCTATATATATTTATAAAATATTTTATAAATGAAAAATAACATTTAATGTTTTTTATAATACAGAATAGACAAAGCATTAATCAGATAAACAATTAATTTTTAGCGTTTAATTTTTCCTCTCTATTTTTCTAAGAGTATTTAATTTCATATTTTACTTCAGCTATTATATATTAATTACACTCCATTTTAGATATCAATCTAATCAAATAATAGTAATTCGTCCTAAAAAGTCTTATAATTAAATTTTGGTTCAATAATAGTTATCAGCACAATGGTCAGAATCTCTCTCTCTCGAACAAAAAACAGAATAAAATAATTATTTTAAAAAATTCATTTAAATACTTTTTTACCAAAGTGCCCTTAAATTTTTTTCCTCATTTTCATAAGTTTTCAAAAGTTCAAAACTTAGTGACAAAGAAAAAAATTTTGATTTTTGTTCGTGTAAGTGACAAAAAAAAACTTTTGAGGCGACTCTGTTGCATTAGGGGTGGACAAAATATCCGTTAGATCCGCTTCGAACCGATATTTGCTTCGATTCGATTCGGAAAATCTGTATATCTGTAAAGTTTCGAAGCAAAACAAATAGTAAAATATAATATCCGTACAAAACGGAGAAAATCACAAATATATTTTTAGACAATGTCGGATATCCGCTTCGATCCGTATTCATTTATATATCTATTACAATATAAAATTTTGTTTTATCTTTATTGTTGTGCTATCAAATTTCTTTTAAAATTTTTAGTTGTTTTTAATCTTTTGATTATATAAAATCGATGACTAAGTAAATAATATAAATAAATTAATAAATAATATGTTTTAAAACTTAAAATATGTTAATAAATAATATTTATTTTGTATTTGGTAATAAATATTAACAAAAAAATTTATAATAAAGTTTAATATTAGAGTTTAAGAAGTTAATATTATTTTTAAATATAAAATATCATTTTTTCTTTTTTTCATTTTAATTTTGTAGTTTTACATTTTTATAATTTTTTTATTTTTATTTTTTACTTAATAGTTTAGATGAAAAAATATTTTTTTATAAAAGTTGATATATTTTTAGGTTTTTGTATGTATTATACGGATTAAACTAAATATTTATAAATATTCATAAATATCTGTAAATTTTCTGGATATCCAGAAATCCAGATATCCATATATTTCTGGAGCAAATCAAATCATAAAATTAAATATCTGTTAAAAATAGAGCAAACTACAAATACTAAAAAATTTCCGGATATCTGATCCGCACCCACCCCTATGTTGCATGAATCCAAAAAAGTCTATTTCACAAAAGAAAATACAAACTAGGTAACTATAGGGAATTGATTGGATGTGGCATGTGGGGAATTATCTACAAAGCTGATGTTTAACAAAATTAATAAATTCCAATTCTTTTAACAGGGCGGATGCAAACAAATTATATCACAGAATTGAAACTAGCTTCTGTAATAAATATGTTTTTGGAGTTACAAATAAAATTATTTAATTTAGATTACTCCAAAAATAGAGTTTAAAGGCAAAAATATAGTTTTATTGGAAATGTTAAACGATAGTTACTATAAAACAAAAAAACATTAAATTGTAGTCTTAAAATTTACTACTAATGATTTAAATACGTATGTTCACCTGCAGTACGTAGTTATCGAATCTTATGGTAAATCAGCGAGCTAGTTTTATGTCCAATATACATGGTCAATCACTATATTACTGTACAAACATGTCTGAGAATACTTTCGTCCATAAAACATAGTTCAGATTTTTTTTTTTCTTGTCGACACCTGATATAAACATTTAAGCTATACGAGTCATTGCTTTTAAAAGATAAATTAAGAATACTACTTTAATGTTTATTTATCTTTGATGATTGGTAGAGCAGAAAGAGGAACAATCCATAACAATCATAACGGACGATTACTCATTTAATTATATTTTCATGTGAACGGTGCAATTAGTTTGCGCCTCTCTATTTTCACATTAACTTTTTTTCCTCAATATTACTTTTTATTTTTACATATATGTTTCGGAACCGTTACAAAGCTTAGAATAACACTAGACTTATCATGTAGGCTAGTACTCATTTTTACGTGCCACCACCACTATAGGTGAAAATATGGTGTGGCTATTGTAAACAATTATAGTTTTTATTAAGTCCATGTTATGGTATTTATGACGTTTGAATTTTGGGAGGGACTTGGCCAACATCAAACCATCCAAGACTGGTATCGGTTGAGAAGAACCGAGCAGGCTAACCCGTGTTTGCGAGTGCAATTTTTTTGGTTTTAGATTTGTTGTTGAATAAATTTTTGAACAACTTGGGATATTTGAATATATGGAAACTGAGACTAGATTTAAAGTCTATTTATGTAACGGATTAAAACGGATAATCCGTAGCTAACTCTTGTTTGAAGGTACAGTTACCGCAAATTTATGTTTTAAGCATGAAAAAGGCATATCAGAATTTGATTTGCCGCCCATCTAAATCGAAACGGATAAGGAATACTGTAAACTTTTTGGACTCACATTCTATGACTATCCCCAGTTGCAATGGCCAGTGGCGAAGATGATTTGCTTGTATGCTATATCGTCAAATGGCAAACTAATTCCACTGTGTGTATGTGCGAGTACGCGTTACACTTGTAGTCTTGTAAACTTTAGCGCCTATATAACAAAAATATAATATATGTTTATATTCTGCCGAGCCCACTATAAGATAAAGATAAATTACATGTACCTTAATAAACAAGGAAAAAAAATATCATTTAAGAAATCATTCTCCTATAAAATCATGGGTTTACCCTCAAGCCACACCTCTCACAAACTCAAACTCACAAAACATTTCTTCTTTTTATCCTCCATAAGCAACAGAGAGAAAAAATAAAGAACCAACGCAACAATTTCAATATTCTTGAAAGCAATGGACCAAGAACATAGCCCAACCGGCCATAGTCACTCACCCTCTTCCTCTGCCTCCGGTTCCACCTCAACCGAACCGGTTCGTTCACGATGGTCACCTAAACCGGAACAAATACTCATCCTTGAGTCAATCTTCAACAGTGGTATGGTTAACCCTCCCAAAGAAGAGACGGTAAAGATACGAAAGATGCTCGAGAAATTCGGCGCGGTGGGAGATGCAAATGTCTTCTATTGGTTTCAAAACCGGCGGTCAAGATCCCGCCGGAGGCAGCGGCAACTCCAGGCCGCAGCTGCAGCCACGGTCGCAACCACCAATACTTGTGACCAGACCATGATGGTGAGCAGCAGCTTGCCACAACATAGTGGGAGTGATTTGGGGTTTGGAGGTGTTAGCACTTCTTCTAATTACTTATTTGGTGGGTCATCTCAAGTTCCTTCCTTTTTTCTTGGTCTCTCTTTTTCTCCTCCTTCTTGTTCAAGCTCATCTTCCACTTCTTCTTCAGCTAGCACTTCTTCTTATGGCGGTGGATGTGATAATCATAGCAATAATGGCATGGAGAATCTCTTAACAATGTCTGGTCAAATGGGTTACCATGAAGCTAATCAGCATCATTATCAACATCACAGCTCAACTGTCGCATCAATTTTGAGCCCATCTGATCAAAGCTCCAATTATCACTACCAACAAGGTAAACAGAAACAAATTATTTGCATGCCTCTTTTTGCTTTGTAAACTCAAGAGCTTTGTCCTCTAAACCCTCTTTCTTTCCCCAAAAAGTCTCTAAAAGTAGCTATTAAATAACTGAAAAGGTTGTTTTGAACGTAGGAAAATATACCAATTCTGGGTGGGTTTCAACCAAAGAACCGATTTTCTTTTATTTGTGGATTTAATTAATTATAGCTTTTTGGTATTATATTTCCAATATTGCCTAACATTTTGTACTTGAGAGCACGTTCTCTAAACTGTTTTTGCTTTCTTATATGTACTATGAAAACAAAACCTTGAAGTTAAATTTTATTTATTCTTTTAAGGATAACACCTCTCAAGATCTCACAATCTAAACTGTTTTGAAAGGAAAAAAATTCAAATTTCAGATGAGTTTTAGCCAAAGAACTGACTTCTTGGAGTATTAGGTTAATTATTCTTCCAATATAGTCTAATCTTTTTTCGTGATAGGTAATTTTTTCTAATCTTATTGTTAATTTTTACATTTAGTAATATTTTGAAATTCAGGGTCTATAACAGTATTTATAAACGGAGTTCCGACAGAAGTGGCGAGCGGAGGTATAGACATGAAAGCAACGTTTGGAGAAGATTTGGTTTTGGTGCATTCCTCAGGTGTTCCTCTTCTTACTGATGAGTTTGGTTTTTTGATGCATAGCTTACAACATGGTGAAGCTTATTTCCTGGTAATATATAAATCAATCTCATAGTATATATATATTACTTTTTGCTTTTTTTTTTGTGTGGATCGATTCCTCGTGAATAGTTTTATTATATTGTTTGTTTTGAGCTAATTTTTTAATATCATATAATTCTTTTTTTTGTTCCCTCTCTCTCTCTAAATAGATATATATTTCGATCCTCACTTTGGTGTTAGAAAAATAGGAAATGAGATCGATGAAACCGAATTGGGCTAAAGTCTTAAATTGTCTGCTACAAGATATTTAAATCATCATAGTTTAATAATATAATGTCTGTCGTAAAAGAGAAAGAGGATATAAATCTACTTGATGAGTGTCGGTTTGTGCAGTAAATGAAAATGATATTTAAAGACTTTAGTTTTTGTAACTGAAGTTTGATGATTTGACGCGGGTTTTTCACATTTGAATCAACAAAAAATTATGATTTTTTATTAATGATCTTAAATTAAATTTGACACATATATACTGGTCAATTAATTTATTAGGGTATCATTTTAAAATATTTATGTTTACTAAAGAAAATAATAATCATTTATGGAAGATTATAGATATTGTTAAATTGCATTAGTTTACAACTCAAAAATATTTAGTAATGGGTGGATAGACATAAGTCTATTGATATACTACTTTAAATCTTTTAGTATAATTTTTGATGTGAGATGCTAACAAGTATTTATTTATTTTACTTCTTTTGTTAGGTAAAATTGTATAGTTTTTACTATTTGGCTAAATAGTAATTAAAATGTATATGCATTGAATTATTTTATTGAGTTTTATGGCAAATGAAAGTATGAAACCATTGGGAAAATTTTATATGTCTCTTTTTGTTATATCACTTGAATGCTTTTTCTTATAAATTTCAGTGTTAAAATCCTATTCGGCATTAGGGTTTCCTGACTCTCTTTCTCTCCTTAAAATAATTAGATTTTATGGCATCCTGAGAGGTCTTTCATGAATTAATTAGTCAGTCTTTACATTTTTTTTAAGAGAAATTTTTCTTTTTTGTTATTTCATTATTATTTTTATTTTTTTGAACATTTTTTGTTATTTGTTGTTTTCGTATTGTTATCGACAGGTTCCAAGACAGACATGAACTGGCCTTACTCTTATGTTATGTGGTGATGCGACAGATGCGCCTTGTTATTCTACCTTAGACTTTATTGCTACGGTCCATTTTTTCTTTTCCTTTCGAGTTTATCGTGTAATCAAAGTTTATGTTGTTTTTTACTATCGTAATTCCGAAATTTACTATTTTAAAAGATGTGAAAATCTCTTTTAAAACGAAGAGAATTAGTTTGTATCAAGTTAGTGATATAGATGTAAAATATGTAATTGATTTGTAATAAATTTTGTGTCTAGGGATCTCCATGTTCGTTTGCAGATTATTATACTATATGTTATTGGAATTTATTAAGAAAAAAAAACGAGACCTTTCAGATAGAATCATAAATATATTAGTTGGGGTTTTACACTTTTCAGATACTATAGTATAATATTAATGTTCTAAAAGAAAGACTATCTTTTAACTTGCGCTATGACAAAAATAATACCATTAGTTAAATATGTGGTACTTACTGTATATATATTCTTTTGTATGAGTCAACTAGTCGAGCCGTAGCGTCAATGATGTACTGATTGGTTTTATCAAGTAAATGATTTCCACAAGCATGATAAAAGTTCCATTCAATTAGCAAAGCGATAAATATTATGGAAAATTGCTATATAGTATATACAGTATGTTTTTCTTTTCTTTATTTAGATATGCTTTATTTACTATATATATGTATGCTTGAGTCATAAACCAGATTATATATCAATGTGTTTTATAGGTTAAATATATTATAGTCCATCGCAGCTAGCTAGTTAGGTCTATGTCTGTCCATTAGTTGTTACATAACCGACTAGAGAGTGTGTCAAATTACTTCATCCACATCGCAGAGTGTGGTTTTTACAAACAAAAACTCTCAGCGATTTGAAGTTAAACGAAATTCAAAATTTGCATTTCAGTACTATATTTTGGATTATTTTTGTTTCTTATAATATATATAAGAAAAATGGAAGAGCATAAGACAGCTGGGTTCGTCAGAATTTTTATTCTTGTCGATTCCTGCCCTCCGAAACACAAACCTTAGTCAACAACTCGAAGCAAGATCTTAATCGGATAGCTATTAGCTAAGACAAAAATCTTATTATTCTGCCCATTAGATCTAACCTTGTAAACGTCAAGTGAAAGGTTACATATATTGAATATTCACTTATTAAGCTAAGGGACAACAAATATATGTATATCCATCCATATACAAATTTAAGATTTTTAAGAAAAATATTTCATCGCTCTCCGTAAAAATATATAGAGACAATAATATATAAACTATAATAAACATATTGTTAACTTGGAATAGTATTATGTGAAATGACAAACTCATGTTTTCATTTCGTAAGTTTGTAGTATTTATGTCTCATTTCGTAAGTTTGTGGTATTTAATTATGCGAATTACACAACTATGATAAATATTTTTTGGGTCGAATTTTTTTTTTGTCAACTTTATTTTTTGTCAACTCTAAAGTAAATGGGTCAATTTGTATTCCAAAACAAAAGAAATCATCAGTTTATTAATTCGCATGTAAACCACTTTTCTAAACGTATTTTTTTATTCAATGATTTTGCAGTTAGATTTTGGAAATTATTTTATTTTTAATGATTTTCTTATTATGCAGTACTATCAATCAGAATGAGTGTAGTTTTCTATATATACGTACACACTTCAATACTTGATTATTTTGAAATTAAATGGTCATTGCGTGATAAAACTAATTTTTGGTTCAGTAGTGTTCGGTAGAAATAAAGAAGGTTAGAAAAACCGAATACAAAATCAAAGAATATGAGTTGAATCTGTATTGCCAATCCTTATACAGAAATATTCATTAATGTTATAATAACGAGAGAAGAAGATTGATTAGTCTATAACTTTATATATTAGCAATCTTATTAAGCAAAAAAATAAAGCCACTAGGCGACAAACACCGACCACTATAACCAGTGAGTAAGAGACGCATGTTTGGTTAATTCTTGAATACCGAACCGAAAGAAGAAAGCATATATTGAGGCTTACCATATGGATCTTTTCAAACTCACTCACACATATGTGAATAATTAATAAACCTTAATTCTATGTAAAAAAATCGAATAACTATCTCAAATAACATACACATAGAACAGAATCCATGTGGTATTACTTTTTCATTGGACAAAACCAAAACTAATCTATCTTTTATTTTGGTCAACCAAGTTGCAAACACAGCTAAAGCATGGACCAATAAGAATTTGGGTTATGGGCTTTTCCTGGCCCAAAGTAGTGTCAACCAATTTTGATTATACGTATTTTCCGGTTGCATCGTCGCCCCTCTCCGGTGACCACCATTGGTTGGTCCCTTGTTCCCTCTTTCAAATGTAAATTCTCTATATTAGTTCTGTGCTTCTTCGTTACCTTTCTGTGTATTGGGATCCATGGCACTACAGTTTATGGGATGAAATGAAACCATGGCATTGCATTGGCGTAACTAGTTGGCTGATTTTGTAATTGCTTTAGTCAAATATGGTTCTTTTAAAATTTGGGCTTTTGCTGTTTGTCCAAAGTAATGTGATCCAATTTTTTTTTGTATCGGCCGAGTAATAGCAACTGGCAACTCTTTTATTTTTATTTTATTATATTGGCTCAACGTTACGTGGCAACTCATCAAATCATTAAATGTTTCGTAATGTATTACTTTTTTGTAATTTAGCAGAGTAGGAGTATTACTTTGGGTCAACTCGGTGATTCAGCTACCGGTTCAACGCTAACCACTAGACCACTGCGCAGTGAACCTTTAACATTGATCGATTCTTTTTTTACCGCCAAAGGAACCAAAATTTGTTTTTGTTTTTTCTCTCTCTCTCTCTCTCTCTCTCTCTCTCTCTCTCTCATATCAATCCCAACTGCTAAATAACCCTTGATAACTTCAATACATGCTAGGTTAAAATTAATGTAGAATAACATAATTTTTTTTAATATCAAATACTTTTAGAATAAAACATTAATTGCCTTTAGAAATGAAAAAGCAGTAATCACAAATATAAGATTCAATATATAGACCATTAGATTTGTAAATTTAAGGTTCAGTTTCTAAGATTAAAGAATTATTTATATTTTAGGTATTAGATGAAGAATTTCGATTTTCCACTATTCCCAAGTCATCGGATCTCTAAAAAAAAATTGTGCCAGAGAGTTCTATATTAGTTAAGTTTTGAAATTAGTATCGATTTTGATTAGGCCACACGCAACATTGTTAAAATTAATTTCAGAAAAAGCTGTCAGGTTTCATCCCACGTAAACGTTGACAGACCAACCAACGATGTGATTTGCACATTTAATTTACAGAACTATGTCTATGTCGCTGAACCCACAGATGTTAATTGAAAAAGGTAAGTAATTACAGACGTTACGTTATATGGATAACCAAAGGGTTGGTCAAATAAATTAAAAAATGGATAATCAAAGGAGTCACATGATCCCACATTAATTTTATTTTTAAATATAATTTACTAAGCAAATGCTATAAATTTTTGCTAATAAAAAATTCCATAGGATCATTAAACATGCTTGGTCAAACTTTTATTAATTAGATCACTCAGAACGTTTTGACAATCTACAATAGTAAAATTCTGACCGACATTAACTGTCTACAGAATCTTTTTTTACTATATTGAAATATTATTCTCGTCAAAATCATTGATCCTAAAAACATTACTATATTCGCCAAATTAAACTCTAATTTTATAAATTACATGTTTTACGTTTTATCCTAGTATTGTTTTTCTGTTAGAATTAAAATTTTAGTAAACAAATTCTAAGATCGTTTTAATTGCCCCGCGTCTAAAGATCAACGTCGACGACTCAGTTTCTTCCTTCACAAGCGAGAATGAGAGAGAACAAAGAGTGTGCTGCATAGTCTCTCTTATCTCTCCGGCGTTTTCATCGTTTCTCATCTACCACAAAAATCTCAATTGGTTAATAATTTTTTTTTTTTTTCCGAAAGGTCTTTCTTACCATGTTTGGAAGGAGAGCGAGTCACTTGGTCATTTTCTCTGGAGAATTTCCTTAAACCCTCTTTCCTTTTTTTGTTTGTAATTCATATCTCCAGATCTTTTTTTTTTTTTCTTTTTTTCGCAGATTTTCACTCCTGGGTTTTTGATTTACACAATCTTTCTTCCTCTTCTACGAATCAGTTCATCGTCATTTCAGGATCTTGATTATATGATTCTTTTTCTTCGTAGTTTCCATGACAAGATCTCTCTCCAAGCTCTTGTTTTAGTTTACCAGAGATGGTTGAGAGATCAAGCTCACGGTATCTGGGAATAATCATCACCAGAAAATCGATAATTTTCTTGCTAATATCAATCCTCTCCGTCCTCTCTTGGTTCTTAATCATTTCTTCCACAAACCCTAACCGAGTTCTTGATTACATCTCAGTCGCTGAACCCACAGATGCGCCTCTCAACATCATCAAGAACTCAGACAACCCTTCCAGAGAAAACGACGAATCGCCAAATTCAGAAAACAGAGAAGATGAAAACAGAGGAGGAGCAAATACAGAGGAGCCCGTTGATGAGAACAGAGCAGAAACCCTGCGGTGCACCCAGATGTCCTCTCCTTCTCCAACACCATTGAAGGTCTACATGTATGATATGAGTCCAGAGTTTCACTTTGGGCTATTGGGCTGGAAACCTGAGGGAAACGGCGTCGTTTGGCCTGACATCAGAATCAATGTTCCTTACCATCCAGGTGGGCTTAACTTGCAGCACAGTGTTGAGTATTGGCTAACACTGGATCTTTTGTACTCTGAGCTTCCAGAAGATTCTAGAACCTCACGCGCTGCGATACGTGTGAAGAATTCCAGCGAAGCTGATGTTGTGTTCGTGCCAGTCTTCTCTTCGTTGAGCTATAACCGATTCTCTAAGGTTACGCAAAAGCAGAAGAAGAGCCAAGACAGAGAGTTACAGGTCACTATCTCCAACCTTTTTTGTTTGTTTGTTTTTCTTTAACATCTTCCTACTGAATTTACACCACATTGTTGCGTAAACGTCTTCAAAGACAAATCATTTTCTCATTAGATATTTTTCAAACTGTAAGACATACAATTTTCATAGTAGACCAAAATAATTGTCATTAGATATTTTAGCAAGTTGCAAACACATTTCACATTTTTGTGTTCATAATAGAAAGACCCTATTATATAACCTATGAATGTAACCGCAAACTCAAACCCAAATGAAAAAGAAATAAAAAAAAAAAAAATGTCATAAACTTGATCTTGATTTTTGACAGGAAAATGTGGTGAAATTTGTGACGGCACAAAAGGAGTGGAAGGTCTCAGGAGGGAAGGATCATGTGATAATGGCGCACCATCCTAACAGTATGTCGACGGCACGGCATAAGCTATATCCGGCGATGTTTGTGGTCGCTGACTTCGGTAGATACTCGCCACGTGTCGCCAATGTTGAAAAAGACATCGTAGCTCCATACAAACACCTTGTTCCATCGTACGCCAATGACACATCGGGCTTTGATGGCCGTCCGATCTTGCTCTACTTCCAAGGAGCCATCTACCGTAAAGCTGTAAGTACGTGCTTAATTTTAAGTGGCTTTTTAAATGCAGTTAGCGTAGATTCCAAGCCTAGATTAATCCAATTTTACTTGGCTTGAATATTTTGTATTGAACCAATCAATAACGATTCGATACAGATGATCACTTCTAGAAGTTCTTACGTTTTGAAGAGAACCACAATCTTGGGAGAAAGTTTATTAAAATAAAAAAGACTTTTTTTTGTCTGGAGATAAGATCTCTTGGTCATGTTTTTGTTCATCAACTTAATTAAGCTTGTGTCTTTTGAGTTTATATCTGAAAAAGGTTCGAAGATTTTTCCATTTTTTTTAAACCTAAATCAATTATGAAAATGACCAAGTCTATGTTACTGTTTTGATAACAATCTTGTAGGGTGGATTCGTGAGACAAGAACTATATTACCTTCTGAAAGAAGAAAAAGACGTCCACTTCTCCTTCGGCAGCGTACGAAATCACGGCATTGCCAAAGCCGGAGAAGGAATGCGATCATCGAAGTTTTGCCTCAACATCGCCGGCGATACTCCGTCGTCAAACCGTCTCTTCGACGCCATAGCTAGTCACTGTATTCCCGTGATCATCAGCGATGACATCGAGTTACCTTACGAGGATGTTCTCAATTACAGCGAGTTCTGTCTCTTTGTCCGATCATCAGACGCATTAAAGAAAGGATTTCTGATGGGTCTTGTGAGGAGCATTGGGAGAGAAGAGTGGGATAAAATGTGGCGGCGATTAAAGGAGGTTGAGAGGTATTTTGATTTGCGTTTTCCGGCCAAAGATGACGACGGAGATTATGGGGTTCAGATGATTTGGAAAGCTGTTGCAAGGAAAGCTCCTTTGGTGAAAATGAAGGTTCATAGGTTTCAGAGATTTGCAAGGCCTTTTCTCATGGTTTAAAAACATTAGGGTTTTACTGATCCTTGTTAGATTTTGGAAATTTGGTTTAGATAGAAATGTAATGAATATAGTTTCAATTCAACCATGTGAATGGCTTTATCGAATGTATTAATAAAATGTGTAATAATAATACTCAGCCTTGTGGATAGATAGATGCCTTGATCTACACGATACACACTCAATAGTTTTTTTCTTAGAGCGGTTGAAAGGCAATCCCAGACCATTGATTCGCTCTAAGCAATTTTGTTCGGAAGGCTTTCTATTTTCTACAGAAAGAGTCGAGTAAATAACCGGTCGAACCTCAACATAAAAAACCGAAAATGAAAAAACCCGTTAAACCACATTCTGAAGTCTTGTGATAACAAACACAATTGTTTCAAAAAGTGTTTTTCCTTGAGAGACTATGGACGGAAGCTCACTCCGGAGAACTTATTGGTGATGGCAGAGGTCAAAGTTTGGTAATATTGTGAAACGTGCGTTTCAATTAAACCATGTGAAATAATGGTTTATTTTGGAGTATTTGATAGTTGATGACTTGATCTACACGAAAACATCTAGAATTCGGATGATTTGGTTCTTTCACTTAGGTGTTAGATTAACTTTTTGTTTTTGTTTTGGTCAAATAATTGAAATTTAAAACTTAGACTTATGGTTATTTCTTTTAGGAATGTCGAATTCACTCTAAATTTTGATTTTATCTAGTCAATTCGGCTCATCAAAATGGGATAAGATTTCTCCAGTATAAAAAAGTGATACACTAATTCAATTTATTTATTCATATTGTACTCCTTGTACATAAATTGGGTATATCCGAGATGCATTGATGTATCCTTTCATAGCGGTTCGATGGTAAAAAACTTGAAAAAGTTCTCTGACTAAAATCAATGAATATATTGAATTTTACAAATATTAGCCCCACAACGGCTACATGGATCTTTATATTTTTTCTTTTACAAATTAATTAAATCAATTATTTAATTTATTTGGTTTTGAGTTGATATATCCCTTTACATATTTACAAACGGCTATTTAGATCAATATCCTTATATTTTAGATCGATGTCCCCCAAAATTACTAAATTTTATATATCAATAAATTTATTTAGTTTTAAATTGAATTGATTCAAAATATATCATAAATCAATAAAATAATAAAATGATATTTTTTAAAAAACCTATGTAAATATATAATTCTATCAATATCATATATTAACAATTACCATAAAAATAAATTTATTTAAATGTATAACTATAATAATCTAATAAGACTTTTCTAATATTTGATAGTTGATGATGACTTTATCTACATGTGACACTCAAGATTTTGTATGATTCGGTTCTTTCAAATTCTACCGTGTTAGAATACTTTTTGGTTTAGTGTTGGTTATATACCTCTTAGACTCAAGTTTATTCTTTAGGAATGTTTGATTTCACTCCAAATTTTGAATTTACAATCTGGTCAATATCTAAATGGGATAGAGTTTCTCCGGTATAAGAAAGTGATACTAATTCAGTTCGGTTAAAAATGTCAACCACACTAGTAGAGAACCTAACTTCTAACACAAGTTATTTATTCATATTGTATAGACTACATAGATCGTTGGCTTACACTCTTTTTAAGATAAAAACACACATTACATTATATAATCGGTTAAAACAGAGTTGCGAAAAGGATGTCATTTTATCTCTCGGATCATTTATAACTCCTTCCTTGATTCCGAATCTACCTTGGACTGAATCGGGACTTCCTCAAGGAGCTTGGAGAGCCACTTGGCAGATTGTTTCTCGTGCCGTCCCAAATTGTTTGCATAGTCTACATAGTACAGCCCAGACCTCGTCTTGTATCCATCTTCCCACTCAAGTCCATCCATAAGCGACCACACAAAGTACCCTTTAACGTTAACCTTGTCCTCGCTGCAAAAACATATAAACAAAAAAGAAGCAACGGTTTTGTCACCAAATCTATCTATCAACTAGAAAAGTAGAAGAGACAGAAACTGTGAAAAAAAAAACTCACCAGACTGCTCCGTGTAATGCCATGAGATGTCTCATATGATAATACTTCCTGTTATTGTCGCTGAGAGCATCGGGAAGTACATCTTTCTCTCCAAGTGTCTCCTTGTACCCTGCAAATGCAATGGATTTGACCATTCAAGCTTTAAGAAAACAGAGTCCGAGTTCAAAACAGAGAGGAAAAAACCCAATGGCTTACCGTTTCCAGTGACGATGATTTCTGGGTCATCGTAGTTCTCTTTGATGTATTTCAGAACTTTCCTTAACCCGTCTGCGCAAACAGGATATTTCGCAGTAGCCGGCTGAGATATATCATCAGCATTACATGAGAACGAGTCTCAGGAAAAAAAAAAGCTCAAAATTGATTAAAACAGAGAGAAAAAAAGTGGAGAAGACTCATATATAATTACCTGAGATCCAATCTTGTACCCATCTGGATTTTGTGCTGCAATAAGTAAAACAAAACAACAACAAAATATTAGAAAGAAGATCATACAATGTAACTGCAGGCGAGAAAAAAAGACTTGATGGTTAGAAGAACAGAGCATACAATGTAACTGCAGGCGAGAATCAGCTTCCCAAGTAGGTTTCTGTGGATCAACATTGTCCACATGAGCAACAAACGCAGAAGTGAAGTAATTGATACCAACAAAATCATAAGAACCCTTCAGTTTCTGCTTCTGCTCGGTTGTAAACGATGGTAATCGAGCACCAACGCTGTCTTTCATGGTCTGAGGGTAATCTCCATGTGTTATTGGTTCCATATGCCTGCAAGCAAACATCAGAACCCAAAATCTAACAGCTAAAAGCTAGTTTAAGCTAAAACTAAACAATAGTATCTCTTAAAACTACTCACCAGCCTAAAGTGAAATCCATAGCTCTCTTCACTATCTCCTCTGAAGGACTCGAGCTAGATTTCTTATCGTAAGGCTCAAACCACATTGGACTCTGAACGATTCCAACCTTTCCATCTTTGCACTGTTTCATTTGAATCCACACATTAGATATTATCAACAGAAACTTGAATGAAGATATATGTATAAAATCGGTTGGTAAGATTTTACCTTTGCACATTTCCTGAATTCTTCCACAGCTTCCGCATGAGCCAACAACAAATTGTGGCTTACGGTGTAGGCTTGGTGTCCAGAATCGCCAGCAACGCATTTGTCATTGACATGTTTAGAACATCTCCCTGGTGCTTTCTCTCCCGTGTCGTATCCACCAATGCTAAATTCATAAGGCTCGTTTATAGTAACCCAGTGCTTCACTCTATCACCATATTCATTGAAAGCAAACTTTGCAAATTCCCGGAAATCATCCCTATATGAGTTTCAGGAGAAAGTAAATAACCTCGAAAAAAACAGGAAACACAAGTGATTTAACACAACTTTTGGCTCAGAGGACTTACAAAATACGGTCACTCAAGAAACCGCCATATTCATCTTCGAGGGCCTGAGGTACATCCCATTGAAACAATGTCACCAAAGGCGTTACACCTGCAAAATCCAGTCAAAGAATGGGATATTAGCCACGAGGTCATAAGTATAAAGGACACATCTGATATGAATTGATACAGAAAAGAGTAATGACCATTTGCAATGAGCTCGTTGATAAGATCATTGTAGAATTTAACTCCAGTTTCACTCACTCCCTTGTCCTTTTTCCCATCTGATTGTTTTGGAGGGAAACAAAAAAAAAATCCATTACAGAGTGACTCGCTACATCTCATATACAATTGCAAAAGAACCAAAGAAAATTGATTTTGGTCTTACGTGGAAATATTCTTGACCACGAAATAGAGAACCTAAAGGCATCCAAGTTCAACTTTTTCAATAGTTGAACATCATCCTTGTACTGATGATAGAAATCAACTCCCACTCTGCCATCAATATCATTGTTCTTTTCTGCAGATTTTGAACAACATTGGTCATGAATTAATCTCAAGACGGTCAGACTATGAAATCTAGACAGGCTTCTAATATCATATTAGTGTAAGTAGACAAAACAGAAATCATCCAAGAACCATTTCTATAATCTTCTGACTGGTCAGAAAGAAGAGAGGAGGAAAGACCTGAATGTTTAAGAGTGAATGAGTCCCAAATGCTCAAACCTCGGCCTCCTTCTCCTTGTGCACCTTCATGCTGTACAAACAAGTCCAGCAAAAATTAGAAACAAAAGTGTGTTCAGAATCCAGATAGTGAATGTGACTATAGACTTGACAAAGAAAGGATCTTAGGCCCAAATCATTAAAAATAGAAACTTTAAAATGACTTATTTGTCGATACAGCTTTCAATTTTTCCCTTTATAAGCTTCAATCATTTCACTAGAGATGCCAAATTCGGTTTCTTTAAATTGGTTATGGAACTTTAGACTTTGTTCATCACACTTGGGAAGCTACGAGTCCTGATTCTAGAGAAATCATGTTTTTTCTGGAGAAAAATTGAAGCTTTTTCTATTTTTATATAAAAAAAGCAAACACTGTTCACTGGATGCGGCAACAAACAGCTAAAAGATCACCGGAAAGTCAACGGCGATTCAACAAAGTTAGACTTGTTAATCCAAATTCGATTTTACCTGGAAAGCAGAAGTGGTAGCACCGAACAAGAAACCATCGGGAAAGCTTCCTCGACCAAACGTGGAACTCTTCGGACACACTGGTCCCCCGTCGACGGTGGTCGGAGAAGCTATCACGGCGGGAAGTAATAAACCCAGAAAGAGAATCGCTTTCAGTGCCATTTTTCAGATAGTTTTTGTTTAATGCTTTACGAGACAATCGTGTTCGAATTATTTATAAGGAGTCGAGATCAGAGATGAAATTTAAAAATTCTATTGGTTTTTGGTATCCAATACTTAGAGACGAAGATTAAAGCAATGTGAGAGAGACGTGTGTGACAGATGCCTTCAATTAATACTCCATCTTTAAATATTTAAATCGAGTTCCAATATCTTAGCCTTGTCAGAAAAATAGAGACGCCGTTAAGGTTCCAAGTAACCACGGTAAGAAAATGATGAACAACATGAAAGTAAAACTATACTTTATTAAAAATAGCAATGGTTTTCATTCATGTATCTGTTTTTTGTAATAGTTTTCATTTTTGCAATATATGTATGATGCTAGCTAGAATAGTTAGTTGGACCGACATAAGAAAGTTAATATTTGTAAAACTTATGTTGATTCAATATTTGTTTGAATGACATCTGTATTTTCTCTTCATTAAAAAATTAGAACATTTCATCTTTCACCAAGTAATTGAACTTCTATCCACACCATTTTTTTTAAGATTTTTTTTTTTTTTCCATTCGAGAAAAATAAATAAAATACAAAAATTACAGACAAACGAAACCTAATCCCTTAAACCTCACCGGCGACCAAAAATGGCATTCTCGTCTCCTTCGCTCCGTCTTCTTCCTCAGCATCCCTTCGGTGTAATAACCCCAAAACGGCAACGTTTTAGTTCTGCAAAGCCTTCATTCTTCTCGCTTAACCATGAATCTTCATCATCTTTCACGGTCAGAGCTCCGGCGTCTTCCTTCGTCGTCGGCGCCGTCTCCGGGAAATCCTCTACGGGAACAAAATCGAAATCGAAATCAAAAGCGAAACCTGCTCCTCCTCCTCCAGTTACTACTGTGGCTGAAGATGAAATCAAAGAGGAAGACATTGCCGAAGTAAGATCACAGGAATCAGAAATGGTCAACATTGCCGAAGATGTCACTCAAGTGAGTTTAAAGGATTCAAATTTATGAGCAAGAACCCAATTTTCTTTACAACAGTTTTAGTGCTATCAAACAGAATTGTTAAAGTCAGGTACTTTGGATTTTGATTTTGAGCATAGTTGATTGGAAGCACACCAATGGTGTATCTCAATAGAGTCACTGATGGATGTGTGGCGGATATTGCTGCAAAGCTCGAATCAATGGAGCCCTGTAGAAGCGTCAAGGATAGGTCAGAATGATTCTTCGTCCCGCCTAAATTCTGTATTGACTATTTTCTATAGATTACAGTTTGATTTATGATGAAAGTACGGTTTTTTCCTTTCCCGCAGGATTGGTCTCAGCATGATCAACGAGGCAGAAGACAGAGGAGCCATAAGTCCGAGGAAGGTAATTGCAAATCTTTGCCTTTTTCGATATTTTTGATTTTTTTTGCGACATTGTAGATTGATGATTGGATAAGTATCAAAGCAGAGTGTGTTAGTAGAACCAACAACCGGAAACACAGGCCTGGGGATTGCTTTTGTGGCTGCAGCTAAAGGCTACAAACTTATAGTGACAATGCCAGCTTCTATCAATGTCGAAAGAAGGATGCTTTTACGCGCGCTTGGAGCAGAGATTGTGCTGACGAATCCAGAGAAGGGTCTCAAAGGTGCAGTTGATAAAGCCAAAGAGATTGTTCTCAAGACGAAGAATGCCTACATGTTTCAGCAATTCGACAATACGGCAAATACAAAGGTAAGAGAAATTATCCAGAGAGGTTTTTCTCTTTTTTCTTCGAGGTTCTGGATCTGTGGCCTAATAAGAACGTTTTCCTCTTGGTAAGATACACTTTGAGACTACAGGACCTGAGATTTGGGAAGATACAATGGGTAATGTCGATATGTTCGTTGCCGGAATTGGAACCGGTGGTACTGTAACGGGTACAGGAGGTTTCTTGAAAATGATGAACAAGGATATTAAGGTCTTGCTCTTTCTCTTGGTTTCGTTTTTTTTTTGGCTTTAACCTTATGATTTTTCCGTAATCCTAAACTTGCTTTTAAAAAAATAGGTAGTTGGCGTTGAACCATCAGAAAGAAGTGTGATTTCTGGAGACAGTCCTGGTAAAGATTTAACAAATTCTATACTTTCAAATAGGGTTTTCTTTTTACTTCCTTACGCAACACTACTACACGTTTTTCTATTCTTTTCAGGTTACTTACCGGGAATATTGGATGTTAAGCTACTCGATGAAGTGTTTAAGGTTAGCAAATAATCTCACCTAATCGACAATCAACATTCGAAAACGATACAAAGAGGAGGATAATAACCAAACTCACTATAGGTTAGCAACGAGGAAGCGATTGAGATGGCGAGGAGACTAGCGTTGGAAGAAGGATTGCTGGTATGTATATTATAAACAACCTCCTCTTGTTCTCGCTTCTTCTGTCCTCTACACAGCATCGAGTTTATACTTATGTATATGTACACATTAGGTCGGGATTTCGTCTGGAGCGGCTGCAGTAGCTGCAATCAGCTTGGCTAAAAGAGCTGAGAACGCCGGAAAACTTATCACGGTGAGGGATATCAGATTTTCATTTTTTTTCCTGTAATCTCACCACATATAGTGGTTTTAGCTCTCTGATAGGTTTTTCTTCATAAGAACAGGTTCTGTTTCCGAGCCATGGGGAGCGGTATATCACAACGGCTCTGTTTAGTTCCATCCACAAAGAGGTTCAAGAGATGAGAGATTAGTAGCAAAACCCTTAGAAACCCCCTAAAGTTTGGTCCTTTGGGAGAGTGTAAACAACAAACTTCTCTGCAACTTGAAAAGAGGTAACAAAATCCGGTTTTTCTCCACGGGTTTAATTTCTTGTTGCGGTGATTTTACAAGCCAACGCTATTACAGGTTTTTGAGAAGGCGATTGTGCGTAGAGCTCACATGAGAATTGAGAGATGAACGTGTCTCGGGATCAAACAGTTTTTGTTTTTAAAATCTTTGATGTATATAGAAGATAAACATGTCTCAAGAGGTTTTTTGTTGCCTTGTTGCTTTGATCAAACAGTTCTTTCTATTCTAGGTTGATCCGAGAGATATCTATAGACTCGTCACTTTTTTGTACTGTCATTAAGAAATTGGATAGAATGTGCTTGTGAGAGAGCTCGAGTCATCATAACTCATAAGAAATTTTATATAATCAAAAAACAAAACAATCAGATAGGACGAGGACTTGTGGGCTGGTTGTCCATTTTGCGCTCTTTATTCACTGGGTTTCCACGTCCAATGGATTTGCATGCATAAGGGCCCAACCAAATATGCATATTTTTTTTTTTAATATAACCTAACTTCTGCAAACAAAATCTTCACACCTGAGCGAGTCATGTATATATGTAAGATAAGACAAATATAACAATTAAAAAATTTCACAAACAAAAAAAAATTATTACAGAGTTACTGGTAGCAAATAAGAAAAGAAGATATTTTTTCTGACTCTTTCAAAAAAAGAGACACAAGTGCAGTTTCAAAGGGGCGCAAGTTAACACATGGAAGACACTGATCGAATATGTAATGCGTGTCACATACATGCGATAATTATTTGCATCACGTGGATGCTCTGTAGGTCCCACATTTTTATTCGTTAAACCGAAATAGTATAAACTATATAAATTATTGTCCAAAAAGAATCTTTATATTTCCTTATTAGTCCAAAATTTGTATAAAACTCGAATGTTATTTATTTAAAACGTGGACTAATACGGAAATATATAAACATACATGAAAAAGTTAAGAGTAATTTTTTTTTTAATTAATGAAGTCTTCTTATACGGATCCACATGACAATTCATTCACCACTTTAACTCAATTACTTGACTACGAGATCATTCTACCATTCATTTCCACGTTTCTAATGTTATTAATTTGATACTAACAACAAAATACCTAACGATCGAACGGTGTCGAGAAGAAAAATATCCCATGATCGAACGGCCTCGATTGCATTTCGTACGAACAAGAAGACGATTGGACCCTAACATTACGGGAAAATTATTTAGAAATCCTTTTTTTGTCCTTTTTCTTTTAACATTTTTTTTTCCTTCTGTCAAGTTTTAAAAAGGTATCTAATTTAATTATGAAAATTGATTAATAATAAACCGATTTCCATTTTTTTTAAAACAAAGAAAGCGAAAATAAAACGAAAATTTTATATATTAAGACCAGTTTTAGAGGGATACAGATTTGGCATTATGTTATAAATAAATATTAACTAATAATTATGCATATGTGTATTGTACTCTAATTAGGAAGAAAATAGCTAATTTGGACTAATAATAGATTACCAATAGTTTTGTGTTTATATCTAATGTAGTAGATTCAGGACTTTTCTATTCTATAAGGTTTTACTCTTTTTCAAGTTTGTCTGCACAGTATACGTAGAATTGTATAAATCTATACGTCATTAATATATGTCTATATGTATGGATATCTAGACACATCTCAGTTGTTCTATACAACATAATTTCTATAAAAAAAGAGGAAAAAAGGTAAATTTTAATTTCCAGTTTATTTTCATTTCTTCACAGAAAATTTCCAGTCTGTTTTCATTTCTTCACTATCTTTTGTGAAACTTTCTGTTGTTGAATTCACCGAGCTCTGTCTGTCTATCTTTTCTCTGGTCTTCTTGACTTTGAGCATTTTTTTCTTGAACAACGGTTATTAATCACCAAGGCTCACTTTTTTTTTGTAAATATTCTCCTCGCTGACATAATTAATGTCTATCAGAGAAGATTGGAAAAGAGAGAATTTATCGATCTCTAAAGCACAGAGAGATGTTCTGACAATTCCAGCTTTTATTTGGAGTTTTTTTTTGTGTGTGGCTAAAAATGTTTACGTTTCTTTATATTTTCAGTTTATGTATAGCATTGTTGTAATAGTCGCAGTCGCTGCGATTGTTTAAGCTTGTTAGGAAGTGCATACTTAGGTTCTCAAGTAAAAATAGTTAGGATAAAAAATGGTTTTGTAGAATCGTATTCTTTGTGCCTACTGGATTAGTCAACATATTGTATTTAAAAGTTGTGGAAATTAAATTGCAAATTCTTAGTTTTCGACTTTTCTTATTAAATAGTGTCATTGAAGGCTTGTTTTCGACAGATTATAAGTAATTAATTGCTGCAGATTGGAGTTAAAGAACGGAAGAAGGAGAAAACAAAAAGATGAGCACTCAAGGAGAAATGGAGGAGAGGCTACTACCTGAACCTGAAGGATCAGGCGCTAAGGGTCAGAGCAGCAATATAGAGAGTCTCTATCCGAGAACGAAGGTTTGGGGCGAAATAAGGAAAATGTTGAGAATAGCATTACCTTCGTCTTTGTTCCGAATGAATTCGTTTGGGAGCATCATTGTGGCTCAAGCCTTCATCGGTCACTCCTCTGAGTTGGGTCTAGCAGCTTACGCTCTCCTCCAAAGCACATTCATCCGCTTTCTCTACGGTTTAATGGTGTAACTACTAATCTCAGTTTCTTATGAATTTCGACCTGGAAACAAAATTAGAAATAGTCTTTATAAGTCTTTGTGGTGTTGATGTGTAGAGCGGTATGTCAAGTGCCACGGAGACCTTATGCGGGCAAGCATACGGTGCAGAACAGTACCACACAATGGGGATATATCTGCAACGTTCATGGATTGTGGACATGGTCGTGACCACTTTGTTCCTACCGTTTATCGTATTCGCTGGTCCCATTCTCCGTCTATTAGGTCAAAACGTTGAGATCACAAGGACCGTTGATAAGATCTATCCTTGGATGATCCCTTATGTCTATAGCTTGATTTTCACTATGACCATGCAAATGTACCTCCAAGCACAAATGAGGAACGCTATTGTAGGCGTTCTCTCGACCTTGTCCTTGGCTCTTGACCTCCTGGTCACGTGGTGGTGCGTGAGTGTTATGGGGATGGGGATTAGTGGTGCGCTCCTTGGCCTTAACGTGAGCTCGTGGGGTATGGTATTAGGCGAGTTTGTGTACGTTTTTGGAGGATGGTGTCCGTTTACTTGGACCGGATTTAGTACTGCTGCTTTTGTTGATCTAATTCCCATGCTCAAGCTCTCCATTTCTTCAGGCTTCATGATCTGGTAATTATTACTATTTTTAGTAATTTTTTTAACAACTTCAATGTAAAGAAAAAAAAAAGAGAGGAAGGAGTACTTATTTAGCTTTAGTACTATAAGCTAGTGGTGCTATGTTGGCACTGTTATACTTATATTCTTTAGTAATAACAATATTTATTCCATTTTCGAATACAGCTTAGAGTATTGGTACATGAGCATCCTTGTCTTGATGGCCGGTTATACAAAAGATGCGAATATTGCAATCTCTGCTTTCTCAATATGGTAAATTCAAAATCTTCGTAGAGTTAATCCGTTTTTTCATTTTAAAAAAGAAGCTAATAAATGATGTGAATTAAAACATATTGAAAATTTGCAGCCAATACATATATACATGGGAGCTCAACATATGCCTTGGCTTCTTGGGTGCTGCTTGGTAATGCTCTCGTACTGTATTTATAAAAGATTTTCAATCTTGGTGGGATCATATATTAAATAAGAGATTATCTTTTCTTGTATGCGAATGTGAATAATGGCAGCGTTAGAGTGGCTAACGAGTTGGGGAAAGGAGACGAAGCAGCAGTGAGATTCTCGATTAAAGTGATACTATCAGTATCAATATTGATGGGAGTGATATTCTCTGTCCTATGTTTAGGATTCTGCGGTCAGATTTCGTACTTGTTTTCGGATAGCAAAGAGGTTTCCGGAGCAGTGAATGGTCTATCGATGATCCTTGCCGTATCAATCTTACTCAACAGCATCCAACCTATACTCTCAGGTTAGAGGATCAAACCGACTTCAAAAGACACACATCTCTAATTAATATCCTCTAATCTAGTATGAAACATTTAACTGTTGGTATATTGTGTTTTTAGTCTTTTAAGTTTTGGGTTATATACATTTACTTGTTTGGTTTATTATTTTATTAGGTGCAATTTTTTTAAAAAAAATGGTTGTAAATGATGATAAAAACAGGTGTAGCAGTTGGAGCAGGGATGCAGAGTATAGTGGCAGTTGTGAACTTAGTTTCATATTATGCAGTTGGTATTCCTTTGGGGCTCATCGTTACTTATGTTTTCCATCTCGGTGTTAAGGTAATTCAAATTCCAATTTCTTACTAAACATATTTTTTTTAAAGAGTTGATTGTTTCAAATTACTAATATGTCTGAATTGTAGGGACTATGGTCTGGACTGTTGGCTGGAATTGCAATCCAAACACTGATATTGTGTTGTATCATTTACAAAACTGACTGGGAATTAGAGGTAAGCAATTTATATTTGTCTGTTTGTTATTCTTCCTTGAAACAATGAAGCGAAAGTTTTTGGAATTTTTATTAGGTTAAAAAGACGAAGGAACGTATGAAAGTGTGGAGTCTGAAGCCATCTAATGAAGAGTCGAATCCTATAAGAGAAAATGAGAGGACGTGAGACAAGTGTAACACATCGTTCTCTTTTTAATGATTTTTTTTAATAATGCCAGCTCGCTTAATATGCAAGATCTTTTATGTTAAAAAGGTCAAATAAAATGAGAAATTCAGTTAACGGGAAAATGTGTTCGTTTGATTTCTTTCTTCGTTTTCTTTTCCATTTTGCAAAAAGAGTGGACAAAATAACTAATTTTAACTAAACCGGCAAGAATTGGGTTATGGAGAGCGTATTTTAAGCTACGCATAATTTTGAAAGACAGCCACAAAACTGTACTTGCTTGTTAAAATGTTTTCATAATACTTTAGCACAGTTTTCATAAATCACATTTTTTTCTTTCTGAAATTGATTATTCAACGTCTTAGCCATAAAGTCAGTGGTATTGTTTTGTGTTGTTACGTGGCATCATTTTAAATTGTGATCATTTGGGTTTAATTTCTTTATATGATCAATTTTGGCCGTTTCGGTTTAAACATTATGATGTCTTTTCCTCTCTCTCTCTCTCTCTCTCTCTCTCTCTTGCTATCTTTGCCGTACCGTCTTTCAAATCTTTCACCGGCACTGAGCTCCGCCTAAACCTATTTGTCTTAATACACCCTAAAAACCCTAAACTCAAAACCGAAACTAACTGTAGACATACATCTAATACATATAAGTCACCCACACCTACACATACGCGATACATCTTTACAAGTTTTTAATGTGTAACCAACATACTCATCCTAACATCTCTTATTGTCTATGACATCCTATTTACTATGGTCTGTCTATGTACGTATACCATGTTTATATCATCTATACCTCACACACAATGATCAATGCGTAATCTACACGTAATCTATTAAACTGACCACAGTAAACGAATGGCACACGCCGAAGGCTGTATCTAAGATATATCTGTTCGCTAACATTCTTCCTCGTCAGTACTCCATCATCACATGCATGCCTTTTCATTACACACTCCATCTCAGTTTGTGTTCCTTACTGCCAGCTGCAATAAATCATGCAATGTATCACTTTAACCCACTGTTATAAAAGTCCATTTATGCTGAAATGAAGCAAATATATATTATCGCCTTAGTATTTTTCTTCAGAAAATGATAACAGAACAAGGAAAGATTTCAGCATAAATGAATATTAAATTTCATGGTTGAAATGGCTTTCCAACACACAAAAAAATAATTAAAAATTTTCAATAAATTCAAGTCGATTCCTTTAACTCCCACTGTTATTTCAAAGTCACATTTTCAGAGTAATTTGCCAAATTGAGACGAGTTACGAGAGGTTAAAGTATTTTGTAGTCTTCTATATTTACAAAAATCATTGAAAAAAAGACAACAAGTTTAAGCTACCTTGTATGGGTGATGGATGAGTCTCTGTGTGTCGCTAAGAGAATGAGATTTGAGTGGTAGAACAGAACAGATCAACAACATAACTTAAATAGAGTACTAAACATTTCAAAGGTTTTCTCAGAGTAAGAAGAAGATTTTGATGTCTGAATGAGGAGGAAGTAGGCCTGGGCGCGGAGCGGATATCCGAAATTTTTTGAGTATTTGTGGTTTGCTCCGTTTTTACCGGATATCTGATTTTGTGATTTGTTTTGCTTCGAAAAAATATGGATATCCGGAAATGCGGATATCCGGAAAATTTACAAATATTTGCGGATATTTTCGGATATTTACGGATATTTATAGAAATTAAATTTATTACATTTAATACAAGTAAAAGGTGAAAATACATGCATTTTTTTAAAAAAATATGAACTAAGTGAAATAACTATTTTTATTTTTTTTAAAAACGGATATAAATAATAAATTATAATGATAGAAAAAGAAAAATCATGTTTTATATTCTAAAAAGAATATTAATTAATTTAAACTCTAATATAAACTTTTCTAATTTATTTTTAAATATTTGATAACTATTGTAGATGTTTATTACTTAATTTAAAATTATTATATGTATTTTTTTATCATATATATTCTTTTTTTTTAATTTGTTAATAAGATAATTAAACTATATAAAAACATTAAAAATTTATAATTAATATATATATATATATATATATATATATATATATATATATAATCTGCGGATCAGAGCGGATATCCGAACTTTCAAAAATTAGTATTTGCAATTTGATTTATTTTAGACGGATACTATATTTTAATATTTGCTTTACTTTGAATCATTACGGATATCTGGATTTTTCGGATCGAATCGAAGTAAATAATGAATTGAATCAAATATAACGGATAATATGCCCACCCCTAAGAGGAAGGACGGATTATTTATACAGATTAATTATCTGCAATGATTATTTATTCTTTTAATGCAATGATTACCGTTTTTTTCCTGTTGTTAATAAGTTACCGTTTGGTAACGTTCAAATATGTTAATTAAGTTTAATAATCTAACGTTCGACTGTCATTTCTCGGCTGACACTGCTTAGTAGGGGTAGGCACAAAAACCATAACCAAAAAAACTAAACCATACCGAACCTAAAAAAGTGATATGGTTTGGTTATGGTTAAACCTAAAAATCCGTTTGATCATTAATTTTTTATAATTTTGGTTTAGGTTTGGTTTGGTTAAAAACCGTCAAACCAAAAGGTTTTTTTGGTTTTTAAACTAAATTTTAAATTATTTATATTTTCCTAGTTTCTTAATTTAGTTTAGGTACATATTTTATTATTGGGCTTATAGTTTCCAAGTTTTTTCATCATAATCATACTTAATATTTTTTTATTTAACGAATATGCTGATATGGACCAATCATATCGAGTTTTTATATCTCATGTGGACGCTCTCAATGTCCTATACCATCAACTTTTATATATTATATGATTAACTTAACTCATAAATTTAAAATATAATATTTATAAAAAATATCTACATATATATAATAAATTAAATCTTAATTTTTCAATAAAAACGTGATTAATTCTTTATTCTTCACATTCAAGTCTTCTAATTCTAGTTCCAAGGTTATATGTATTAAATTTTAATCTAGATTTGTTTATTGTTTTATAATTATTGATTATGAAAGATTTGATAATTTGTTTGTTTCTTTGTTTTAAAATCTGTTCTTATTGATGAATTTGTTATGATTTAGATTCTATTTTTTGAACTTTTTTTTTCACTCATAGCAATTATTATTATTATTTCCATTAGAATCAAATTTTTTTGTAATAGTATAATTCTAAAAAAATCGAAACCAAACCATATCAAACCAAACCGTAAAAAACCAAACTATACCGAACAGAAATATATATAGCTTTTACATAGTTTGAATTTTTGTAAAACCGATAAATCGTAAAACCGAAAAACCGAACCGAAACCAAACCAAAAACCGAAATGCTCATCCCTACTGCTTAGTAAGCATCATACGAGTTTAGCGCGTGGAGATTATAATGGGTTCGAGTTGCTTTTATAATATGAGAGCTTAAATCTACACATTTCAGTTAAGCAACCCCAAAAAATTATCTACATATTTTTAGCTAACATATAAAATTTCATTGAAATTTTGATTTATGCCGTTTAAGTCAAATTCAGTTTGGATATGTTTCGTTTTTTTTTTTTGGTTTTTGTAACTTAATCAAAACATCTATTTGCTGACATTGTTTTCCTTCGGTCGATTAGAAAAAGACAATATTCATTGCGCATTTATAGCAAAAACTGATTATTTAGTACACTGAATTTCTCAGATTATTTATATAAATAAATACAGGTAGAATTATAGGAAAACTGAAAGTAAACCATTAAAAAAGAGGAATTATTTATTTGTACAATAGATTAAAAGCAGGCAAATCTCTAATGCTGGAAATATCCTCAAGCGCCAGCTCACGTTCCAATTGTGCCCTCGTTGATTTAAGAACGTCCTGCCCAAAAATTAAAAAAACCGGTTAACACATGACCGAGAAGAAAACCGGGAATTCCAGACTTAAAACAAGCTTGGCTCAAAGATGGATTTACATTGAATTCCATGTAAGAAGCTCGCTTGGCAAGCCATTGTGCATCCATCATTCGGAAAGCTATACAGTAAAGATTATCAAACGCCGTTTCGTCTTCCTCCAGAAACTCCAAGAACCTTATACCGGCTATCGTTGATGGTTTACCTGAAGAGACACACATTTCAACATTTGTTTCACAATTACTAGAAAAAAAATTTGATCGGGGTTTTAGTCGAGCATGTTTTTACCTGATTGAAGATCTAACATTTGTGCCAGCATGAATGAGATATTGATGCCAGCAACCGCGAAAGGATATTCCCATTCCGCTCTTGTTCCATCTTGTTTATGTAACAATCTCTGGAATGATTCCTGTCATATTGCAATTACAAACCTCTTTAAGATATAGTAATTGTGTAAAGTCAGTAACTTTGGCATTGATTCTCTCTGAACAACAATTTGTTTTCCAGGGGGGATGACAAAAAAAAACCAAAGATGTAGATGTGAATTAGAGATGCATCACAAACCGGATAGGTCTTTGCAAAGAAGATAAGATTCTCCAGTGATATATAGCCTCCACCTCTACAAATCAAGTTTTATGAAACCAATCATCAGCAAAATGACTAGTGATGAAGAAGCAGACTTAAAACGAGTAAATGCGTACCGGAAGTCTGTTGAAGGATCTGTTCCTTGCCAACCCATCTCCTTCCAGAGTTCGGATTTAAGAGGTGGTAGTTCCCTCTGTGGATACGCCAATCTCCATAGTTGTCTTAGTGCATCCTGTAAGTCGTGTGAGATTACATAAATCTCGACAATGACCTTGCGTATGCGGAGAATTAATATAGAGAATTCAGCAGACAAAGAGTCCATGACAACACTTACTTGATGCTCCATTCGAGATCCATCAAACGGTATTTCTATTCTTCGCTTAATGTTTCTTAGCCTTTCTTCCTAGTAAGAGATATGGTATTATATGGTAATCAATTATACTCCTCTTAATGATCTATGATGTTGACAAGATAAGATAAAAGCTTTGGAATCTACCTGCAACATACTAAGAGGTGGTGGCAAAAGCCTTCCACCAGAACCTAAGTGAGGCAGAGAAAGGAACCTCCCAAAAAGTGACCCAGATCCAAAGACAATCTTGGCTGCGAAACCATGATACAAGCTGTGATGTCATAATCCCTCTTTCAAACACTCAAGGAGGTAACAGAGACAAAGACGAGGAAAATAAACCGAACCTATCCACTGAGCCCATTGTGCAATCAACTGAGAAAATATTAATGTCCAGTGAACTTGCTGTCTCTTCCGTTCTTCTTCCCAAACATCCTCCAGAGTAGGCTCCTAAGAGAGACACACCACAGCTAATACATAAAACGAGTTCTTCTCATCTCTAATTGAAAGAAAAAAAAACACACTGACACACTAACCTCATTGTACCCATCTTTACTATCACTACTACTCCCCAACAAAGGTTCGCTTAAAGTTTCAGAGTCTGTTGCATCATAACGTTCGTATTTTCTCCCATCTACATCCCCATGATGAAGCCGCCTCCTTAGAGTCGCAGATGCCATCTTGTAAAGCAACAGATACAAGCGAATAAGCCCCTGCATGATACCAGAAATCAGATCAAGTAAACAGAGAGAAAAGAGGAAAAAGCATGAAACTTTGAGACTTTGTCTTGCTAAGGAACCACAATGCAGCAGAAATAATAAATGCGTTTCACTTAGACCCTAATAATTATCCACACAATATCACAGAACAGATCAATTGGAGAAAAACGAAACCTATAAGCTTCAGCGGAAACAATAAATGCGAAAGACTAATTCAACAGTGAACTTTCCGATCTAGAAAACTACACACCGATGCATCTGACCAACCATTGAAAATCGTCAAAATTCAGAACATCAAACAGAGCTCCGTCACACAAACCCTAAGATTCAATCACAACGGAGACGCCGAAAAGACACAGACAAACCATGATCGCTTGGAAACCCCCAAATCTCAGATTGGACTTTTTAATCTCAAATCAGATAGCTTCAAAAGGAAAACTCACGAAATCCAAAAATTGTAGGAAACTAAGATAGACTGTAAGATAAATAAATACAAAAATCTATGATTGGGTTTGATCGATTCTCTTACGGGGAACGTGATCTCGAGTGAAAGATGAGAGCTTCCTTCGAGAGAAAGGTAGGAATAAGCTCACGAAATCTGAAACCCAAAGGAAACTGTCGCCGCCAACGGCAAAATTTCCAGAAATTCTATTTTGTTTTTCTTCTCTCTCTTACTACGTTACTATAAAATATAAATTAATTCCTTTGGTTGGTCAACGACGTGTGAGCAGCAGGTTAAGTATCCGGTTTACATTTCTGGTTTAAACAATGGAGAATACCGAAATGGGCCAATATTTATGTAATGCGTTCGTACCGGGTACGATTTGATTCGACCCGACCCGATTCCGGCGGCCAGATTTTCATCATCCATCAATTTTGAGGAGCTTTCTCTCCACCAGATCTAATTCAATCTCCAAAGTTCCTCTAAAACCCTAACCCAACTCGCTGCCGTCCGGTAGCTTTTGTTCCGACGAAGGATGACGATCCACGCAGCGGTAATCCAGAAGCTTCTGAACACCGGCGCACATCTCGGCCGTCGCGCCGCCGAGCACCATTTCAAGCAGTACGCATACGGGACGCGTAACGGGATGACCATCATCGACTCCGACAAGACCCTGATCTGCCTCCGTAGCGCGGCTCATTTCGTGGCGAGCCTCGCGCACATGAGGGGAAACATCTACTTCGTCAACACCAACCCTCTCTTCGACGAGATCATCGAGCTCACTTCCCGCCGGATCCAAGGGGATTCGTACAATCACAACCGTGCGATGAATCTGTGGAAGATGGGAGGGTTTCTGACAAACAGTTACAGTCCAAAGAAGTTCCGGTCGAGGCACAAGAAGCTTTGCTTCGGTCCGACTACGATGCCTGATTGCGTCGTTGTGTTCGACACCGAGAGGAAGAGCTCGGTGATACTGGAGGCGTTGAAGCTTCAGATTCCGGTTGTTGCAATTGTGGACCCGAACGTGCCGTTGGAGTTCTTTGAGAAGATCACGTATCCTGTACCTGCTCGAGACTCGGTCAAGTTCGTGTATTTGTTCTGCAATGTGATCACCAAGTGCTTTGTGGCGGAACAGACGAAGATGGGGATCAAAGATGGGAGCAAGGAAGAGTCGGTGAAGGATCTAGTTGCTGCATGATTTGGATTTTCGCAACAAAGTATGAGACTTTTTTTACTGGAATTTACGGTTTTTTGCTCTGTGTGGAATAATTTAGTCTTGAGGATTGTTGTTTTCTCAAAGTTTGTGTTTTTTTACACATTTGGATGATTTTGCTCCAAGATTGTTGCTCCCAACTGTGGAAGATTGTTCATTGTCTTAGAAATGCTATAGATTTTTGTAGGAACTTTGCATCTCGCTAAATGCCTATTGAGTTGCTCATTGTTAGACACATTGTAATTGAGAGCAGTCCACAATCTTATTGATCAGAAATGGCTTCAACAATCTTATTAATCAGCTTTTGACTCATCCTTTAAGCAACTATTAGCTTTCCACTTTCAACAAAACCAATACCGTAGCTTTCCCTACTATAGAGAAACAAGTTGCCAGTTTCGAGAATCCTCACCAGCAATCGCAGCCAAATTTCATCAAACCCTCTTGCCATTTTTAAACCTGCTCTTTGTCCCTATGCATCTTCATATCCTTGGCGAAGCTCCCTGTCTTCTTCCTCATGTCCGAAAGGCTCAACCCCATAAAAGATGTATCACTCTCTGCCCGATTCTATCTTTACATTCGATGATCTTCAAAAGCTCGTCCAAGCACCAGCTTTATTGCCTCAGTGAGCCTCGGAGAGATTGAGCTTCCTCTCTCCAGTTCACGGTCGTCTCTGAAGGCATTGATCCCCATCCGATTAAGCTCACAGAATAGACGACTCGCGAATGTTCTGCGCACATCTGTTCCTTCGAAACTCAAGAAAACGTCGAGTTTCCAGAGAGCTGAAGAAGAAGAGCTCTCATGACTGTAGACGAGAAAACTCAGAGAAAGTTGAAAGCTTTTCTCCCCCTGCTTTCATAGATTATGCTAAGTTTCATATCTCAAACGGCGACACGTTGCAGAGTCAAAGGTCAAACCTTTTTCCCCCAAAATAATTTCCTAAATTCTCCAAAATCACACACACTCACAGGACCCATCTTTACTTCGGAGGAGAAAGTGAGAAAACGGTAAGATTGGCCAGAGATGTCTTCCGTTGCAGCTAGGGTTCTCAGGGGATGCAGATCGCTTCTGGCTCCTGCATCTCGAGCCACCTCTTATGTGGTCTCTTCTTCGAGAAGTGTAAGCACGGCCACAGCTGGAGCCACCAAGAAGTCGGCGGCGAAATCGAAGTCTAAACCTAAGCCAAAGACGAAATCAGACTCTCCGGCGAAGAAGACGCCAAGGTCCACCGGAATCTTCAAGGCGACTCCTGTGTCTCCAGCTCTCGCTCAGTTCCTTGGTACCGGTGAAACTACACGTACCGACGCGGTCAAGGAGATTTGGTCCTATGTCAAGTCTCATGATCTTCAGGTTCCTCTCTTCTTTTTCTCTGCATTGTTGTTGTTGTTAAAGTTTGAGTAGAGCATAAGCTGCGGAATGTATAGATTCTCGATTTTCTGATGATATGGGTCTTTGCATTTATACGAGATTTACCGGAAAGATTAGGGGTTCTCTGTGGTACACTTTGCTATATGTTTCCTGGTCCTTGGAGTCATATCAACTTGCTTGATGAACTTAGTGGAGAAGTTTGATGTGATGATCACCCAAAGGATTCAATTTTGCTTTCCAGAGTTCAAATTTGTGATATTTTTCATTATCTCTTGTTGCTCTGGTTCAATGAGTTTACTTCTCGAGTCTCTTGTCTAATAATGTCGCAGAAGTTACATTGCTTAGAGTCTTTTATCTAATGTGTTCTCCATCATTTCCCCTCATGTACCTGTTGATTTATATTATTCTCTGCTTTTGCCTTTATATACCCTGTGTGGGAGATGATATGGTTTCAGTCTCACCAAAACCGTTCTCTTTGGCTTAGTGAATTTGAATGAAGCTGACACATTCTATCAAGTTAACGTGTTGTTGTCATATCAACTGGTGGAGGATCTTAGTAGAGAAAAGCTTGACGTGTTGTTGTATCACCATATAGTATTCAGTATTTGTTTCTTAGCTTTGTGTAAATGTTTTGTATCAGAATCCTGCTGACAAGAGGGAGATTATCTGCGATGAGAAACTGAAGCAAATCTTTGAAGGGAAAGACAAAGTCGGGTTTCTGGAGATTACAAAGCTCTTGTCGCCGCATTTTGTGAAGACTGCTTGACAATTGAGCTCAACATGGAAGCTGCTGATAAACGTTTGTCAATATCTTTCAACTCTTTGCGTATCTGTTAAAAAAGATCTTTGACTAATGTTGTTAGCTTGTGAAGAAATGTTAAGCCATAAGTTTGCAAACCCTTAATGTTAATCAAAAGTAATCTAGACGCATGGGCTTGGTCGAGCCATGTTTTTAGTGTTAGTGTGCGTATATTGATTGGATTTTGGGATTCTAAGTTAGCTATGTAAAGGATTCGTGTCTTTATTGATTGTGTTTGAGAATCATCCTTTGGTAATTCGATCGAAGTGAATTGTAGTTGCATTTGTATGAACATGATATACACATATAATAATGTCAACACTTAGAAAGCATGGAAGTAAAAAGCCAAAACAGAGGCTGTTGTTGAACAGAGTTCGTAAACCAAAGGGATTTGTTGTTGAATGACATCTTCCTAGAGCCTTTGTTAAGTTAATCGATGAGGAAACAAAAAAGGAGGAGACAGAAGAGAATGATGAGACAAATTAAAGTTGATATCGTCGAAGCACAAGACTGTCAGGTGAGTGAGAGGCAATAGGTTAACGTAGTGCAACGCCTGGGAACGAACTCAATCTGCATTCTGGAGTTTAAAGACCGTCAACAAGAATAAGAGAATACATTTATACATATAAAAAAAGGAAATTTGTTATAAAAACGTAAAGTTTGAATAGCGAAATATTGAAGCCTTTCATTCTCATAATTTAAAAAAGGAAAAAAACCAAATAATAAGTAAATCAATAGGTTTAATTAGGGGTGGACATTTCGGTTTTTGGTTTGGTTTCGGTTCGGTTTCTTCAGTTTTACGGTTTATCGGTTTTATAAAAATTCAAACCATGTAAAAACTATATATATTTCGGTTTGGTATGGTTTGGTTTTTTACGGTTCGGTTTGATATAGTTTAGTTTCGGTTTTTTTAGAATTATACTATTACAAAAAATTTTGATTCAAACTAATGGAAATAATAATAATAATAGTTGCTATGAGTGAAAAAAAAATTCAAAAAATAGAATCTAAATCATAACAAATTCATCAATAAAGACAGATTTTAAAACAGAGAAACAAACAAATTATCAAATCTTTCATAATCAATAATTATAAAACAATAAACAAATCAAAATTAAAATTTAATACATATAACCTTGGAACTAGAACTAGAAGACTTGAATGTGAAAAAAAAAGAATTAATCACGTTTTTTATTGAAAAATTAAAGTTTAATTTATTATATATATGTAGATATTTTTTATAAATATTATATTTTAAATTTATGAGTTAAGTTAATCATATAATATATAAAAGTTGATGGCATAATGCATTGAGAGCGTCCACATGAGATTTAAAAACTTGATATGATTGGTCCACATCAGCATATTCGTTAAATAAAAAAATATTAAGTATGATTAGGACGGAAAAACTTGGAAACTATAAGCCCAATAATAAAATATGTACCTAAACTAAATTAAGAAACTAAGAAAATATAAATAATTTAAAATTTAGTTTAAAAACCGAAAAAACCTTTTGGTTTGACGGTTTTTAACTAAACCAAACCTAAACCAAAATTATAAAAAATTGATGACCAAACGGATTTTTAGGTTTAACCATAACCAAACCATATCACTTTTTTCGGTTCAGTATGGTTTGGTTTTTTCGGTTATGGTTTATGTGCCCACCCCTAGGTTTAATTACTATTTGATAGATCACCAAACAGAAGAGCAACCATAACAAAGACTCTGTGAATTAGGTTTTTTTTTTTTTTTTTAACTTGGCCGTCACACAGAAGGAAGGTTTGGCCTTAATTTGCGTGATCATATTTGTGAACACGAAACCTGATTTCTACTTCCCATTATGTTGAATCTTAACTAAAACGTGTTTGGTGTTTCAGTGAACCATCTTCGTCGGTATGAGAGGTATGAAAAGAAATATGAGAAATATCAACGACTTGCCTGACGATTTATTGGTGAAGTTTTTGTCGTTTCTTCCGACAAAAGAAGCTGTGGCGACGAGCGTTTTGTCAAAACGATGGCGTTTTCTTTGGAGAGAAAAAGATGTTGATTACGTAAAGCTTTGTGATGAATGCTCTCTCCAGTGGGTAGCTTTAACACGTGAACGGCATTGCAAGATGTTTCATCCGACTCCTCATGTATACCCTTGAGCGAGTTGGAAATAGACATGTTTCGAGAAAGATATATCCTCCGCCGGGAAAGACGTGTTTTGATAGTTTGATGTCGTGTCTCAGAGCTAAAGCGTGTATGGAGTGCAAAGCAAGAACAGATTCACGTAAAAGAGTTACGATTCTCGTCTTACATAGTCGCTTCCTAAAGACGCGCGCTTTTGTATGGACCAAGTTGGAAGACAAAGAGCAGATGCAGATTGAGTTCGTTATCAGGCGGAGGACTACGTTAACCTTTTGCCTCTCTCACTCACCTGAGAGTCTTGTGCTTCGATGATATCAACTTTCATTTGTCTCCCTTCTTTCTCCTTTTTAAGGTGTCAAAGATTAAAATATGTTGTTGATCAATTTGGCTGGGATTTTCCTTTTTAAATAAACAAATGTCGATTATATTTATTTCATCTTTCTAGTTACAAAATTGTTTTTTTTCACAGCGAATACATTATTTTCCTTGGCCCAAAAAGGATTAAAAAGCAGGGGAAACATAATCAAGGTTTTTGGCTTTTGGTTGCATTGTTTTAATTGTTAATCAGGAGCTTGACGGGTCCTAACACCATATATATATATATATATATATATATAAATATGTTCAAATTACCAAAAGAGGACTACCAAAAACAATCAAGAAAGAAAAGCAACATTTTCTAAGCTAACTTAGCATTTCAAACTTTGGTATCAGAAAAGCAAATATACGCTATCACAGATGTCACCATATGGTATAGATAAACTATCACAAATTAAAATAGCCATGGTGATTTCATATCAATATAAATAACATGAAAAAGTATTCTCATATGAGTCTAACATCTACACCATAAACATTTTATAGAGAATTCAGTAAATTCATACCTCAACACCTTTTTGCGGTCCTGATCTGTGCAATGTAGGTACGGATTGAGACCTTAAAAAGTTGTTAGGCATGAATTAGCCGAATTTCTAGGGTTTCTTATAATTTTGTCAAAGAACACCTCTCGAATCTTCTATTCTTCTCTTCTTCTAACACCACGATGAGGGACAACAGCCTCATATGCCACCAGCTATAATCTTTTAATAAGTTCATCGCAAAAGACATTCCAAAAGTTGTTGAAGAGTCTCCAGTTATGGAAATTGCCATCTATGTAAATTTGCATGATTTACCTATGGTTTCTTAAAGATTTTTAGGTTTGCATGATTGATTTGTTGTTTGATTTACTTATTGTCTGATTTATCTATTGTTTCTCATAGACTATTACTTTTGGAAAATTTGATTTTGCAACCCAGGTATCATAAAGTCTACTGGAGAGACTACTGATTTGCTCCTTACAAAGGCGGGGTTGAGGAATTACACATATGCGTCTCCTATGTACCTTGGCGTGAGTTTAGGAAAAGAAGAAGAAGCAAGTCACCACTTTCAATCTTTACATCGGGAAGATATTTACTACATAGAATTAATTGTGTCTACATCATAGTTATAAACTTATGATAATCAGATTACTACTACTATTGTTGGGTTTTCGTCATGCTCCGCTCGGGTTTATGCCCATTACATAGAAAATCTCAAGAAGATTTGATAAAAGCTGAAGAATGTGTCTATCATGAAGGTGGCTACTTTATCATCAATGACATTGAAAAGGTCATCATTGCCCATGAAAGGATGGCTCGTAATGGGGTGTATGTCTTCCAGCAGAAGCAGTCAAATAATGCATATGTTGGTCAAGTTCATTTCATGAATGAGAATCAAAATAGCTCTGCATTCACTTTGTATATGCGCATGCTTTCTTGGAGTTCAGAAGCGGTAAGAGAATCATTCATTGCTAAAAGTATATTTCTTCCAAAACATACACAATACCTAACTTTAGCCAGTTGGCAAATCAAAAAAAAAGGGACAACCTTAGTGCAAATATGTGTCATCTACATCATATCATATTAAATTTAAAGTTATCTTGAAACCTTACTATGATCTCCATTAGTAATTCATATAGAATGACACACGATGACAACTTTACTTACAATTAATATGTTTTCGTAATTTTTTGTGATACAAATGATAGTTTTTCTGACTTTTAATGAAATACTCTTAACAAAAAAATTTATATTTATTTGTATGTTGGACATAAGCTTAATGGTGATATCCGTATATTACATAAGCTTAGTGGTGGTATTGTGAGTTTCTGAAAACATCGCAATGGGTCAAAAATTATTGAATCCTATATGAAAACATCACCACCACGTCTCATCTTTTCTTATCCAGCTTTTAGCGATAAATTACTAAACAATAATCAATAGTGTCAAATTAATTAGCTTTAATTTCTATTATATTTAAAGATGTTTTAGTTTTTTAATTTTTGAAATATAAAATTTGCTTTCAAATTCTTTTTTCTTTTTGCATTTTATGTATCAGTTTTTTAGAGACAAGTAATTTTCAGCATGTAGATGTTATTCTAAAGTGTTAGTAAACCATATTTAAATATTTACATTTAGATATAACATCTGGATACACAAATAGACATGATCTTAATCAGAAAATATTGATTTTCTCATATTAATTTCTTAAAAAGACATATTATCCACTTTGTCACTTTTAGGCGGTAAACGTTTTCTGAAAATAAATTAAAGTTTTTAAATTTACGAAACTAAATAAGGAAGAGGAGTACGACATACGACATATGCAGACTAGAGTGTCATCGGCTTTCGTCTCGAAAGCTCTTTCATCGTCATCTAACCTCAAAGACCTTCGTCGAACCCACGCCCTTGTAATCTCTCTAGGCCTTGACGGCTCCGACTTCTTCTCCGGCAAGCTTATCGACAAGTACTCCCATCTTAGGGAACCCGCCTCTTCTCTCTCTGTTTTCCGGCGAGTTTCTCCGGCGAAAAATGTCTACCTTTGGAACTCAATCATCAGAGCGCTTTCTCAGAATGGTTTATCCTCTAAAGCCCTCGAATTTTACGGGAAACTCCGTGAAACCAAGGTTTCGCCTGATAAGTACACGTTTCCTCCCGTCGTCAAAGCCTGCGCGGGACTGTTCGATGCGGAGTTTGGAAACTCGGTTTATAATCAGATACTCGAATTGGGTTTGGAGTCTGATCTATATGTGGGCAATGCGCTTGTGGATATGTACTCGAGAATGGGATTGTTGGGCAGAGCACGACAAGTGTTCGACGAAATGCCTGTTAGAGATCTAATTTCCTGGAACACTTTAATTTCCGGGTTTAGTTCTCATGGTTACTACGAGGAAGCCATAGAACTCTATCATGAGCTGAGAAATTCTTGGATTGTGCCAGATTCCTACACGGTTTCAAGTGTTTTGCCTGCCTTTGGGAATCTGCTGGTTGTCAAAGAAGGACAGGGACTTCATGGTTTTGCTCTCAAGTTAGGTGTTAGTTCCTTCGTGGTGGTTAGCAACGGGCTACTCGCGATGTACTTGAAATTTAGCAGACCAACAGACGCAAGACGGGTTTTTGATGAGATGGTCTTTCGAGATTCCATTAGTTACAACACTATAATCTGTGGGTATCTCAACTTAGCAATGTATGAAGAATCTATGACGATGTTTTTGGAAAAATTAGATCAGTTCAAGCCAGATTTCGTAACAGTTAGTTCTATTCTCCGTGCCTGCGGACACTTACGAGACTTGCGCTTAGCAAAGTACGTTCATGAATATATGTTGAGAGCTGGATTTGTGCTTGAAACTACTGGGAGTAACATTCTGATCGATGTGTATGCAAAGTGCGGTGACATGGTGGCGGCAAGAGACGTGTTCAAGAGCATGGAATGCAAGGATACTGTTTCGTGGAACTCGATAATCAATGGGTATATACAAAGCGGAGATCTTTTGGAAGCCATGAAACTCTTCAAGATGATGATGATCATGGAAGAGCAGGCGGATCATATCACTTACTTGATGCTTATATCTGTCTCCACCCGTTTAGCAGACTTGAAATTCGGGAGAGGGCTACATTCCAACGCGACAAAATCTGGAATTTACTCCGATCTTTCTGTAAGTAATGCTTTGATTGATATGTATGCTAAGTGCGGGGAAGTAGGGGATTCTCTGCTGATATTCAGTACTATGGATACTCGGGATACGGTCACATGGAACACGGTTATTTCGGCGTGTGTTCGTTTTGGGGATTTAGCGACCGGTTTGCAGGTAACTACTCAAATGAGAACCATCGGAGCTGTGCCCGATATGGCAACTTTTTTAGTTGTATTGCCTATGTGTGCTTCGCTTGCTGCTAAACGACTAGGCAAGGAGGTCCACTGTTGTATTTTACGGTTTGGATATGAATCGGAGTTGCCAATAGGAAATGCACTAATCGAGATGTACTCAAAATGTGGATGTTTGGAGAGTTCTTGTAGAGTCTTTGAACAAATGAGTAGAAGAGATGTTGTGACATGGACAGGGATGATTTATGCATATGGAATGTACGGCGAAGGTGAGAAAGCCCTAGAAGCCTTCGCCGATATGGAAAGATCCGGTGTTGTTCCCGATAAGGTCGTCTTCATTGCCATCATCTATGCTTGCAGCCACTCTGGTTTGGTAGAAGAAGGCTTGGCGTGCTTCGAGAAGATGAAAACTCACTACGGAATCGACCCGATGATGGAACACTATGCGTGTGTGGTTGATTTGTTGTCTCGGTCGCAGAAGATTAGGAACGCCGAGGAATTTATCCAAGCAATGCCGATTAAACCCGATGCTAGCATATGGGCATCTCTGCTAAGAGCTTGTCGAACAAGTGGGGACGTGGAGACTGCAGAGAGAGTGTCTAAGAGGATCGTTGAACTGAACCCGGATGATCCAGGTTACTCGATTCTAGCATCAAACGCTTATGCGGCCTTGAGGAAGTGGGACAAAGTGAGTCTAATCCGCAAATCCTTGAAAGATAAACACATGAAGAAGAATCCGGGATATAGCTGGATTGAAATCAGTAAGAAAGTTCATGTGTTCCGCGCAGGAGATGAATCAGCTCCTCAGTCCGAAGCCATCCACAAGTCACTGGAGATACTTTACGGTCTGATGGCTAAAGAAGGGTACATTCCGGATCCACGAGAAGTGTCACAGAACCTAGAGGAAGAGGGAGAGAAGAGACGTTTAGTCTGTGGACACAGTGAGAGGCTAGCGATTGCGTTTGGGCTGTTGAACACAGAACCAGGGACGCCATTGCAAGTGATGAAGAACCTTCGGGTCTGTGGTGATTGTCATCAAGTCACGAAGCTGATATCGAAGATCGTGGGACGTGAGATATTAGTGCGGGATGCTAATCGGTTCCATCTCTTCAAAGACGGTACTTGCAGCTGCAAAGATCGCTGGTGAATCTCTAGTTTCCTTGATGTTGTAAGTTGTAACCGATGCAGAGTTTTTAAGTTAAATTTATAGAGGAAACAAACAAACAAAAGCAACACTTTTTATAACACATTTTTTTTGTTATAAATGGAGAAGATACATCAGAGAACAATCACATGTTCTGCATCAAACACTCTGTAAATTTCACACAGCAAAATATTCTTGAACCATAAATCTCGGTCCTAAAGCTCCAACGAGTCCAAATCTGAAATAATAGTCAACCCTGAAGGGAAACCAAACCGAAATTCCCGATTTACACAAGAATTTTTCTGACCGATGTTCAACTGGTAGCAGCTTTAGAGCATTGTGATATCTTGAGGTAAAGTAAATTTACTTGTAGCCCCGAAACCATTGGCCATCTGAAGCACAGCGGTTTGAACAGCAAGAGCTGTTGGTACTAGCGATTCCGGGAGAGGCGGAAAGCACTCTGGCTGGTTTTGTTTGTTACTGAAGACTGGCGTGTACAGAGCCAACACAGCTCGGCAGAATATGAATCTGCAGATAAGGGGGACAAAATCCAAAACCGCAGATAGATTAGACAAAAAGGTTCAGAGAGTTCCAACAATGTTTAAGGCTCCTACTTCCTACACTATCTATGTCCAAAAATGAACCCTCAATCTTGTAATATCCCATTAGATCTAGTTTGGTTTTTTCCACTGATACTGAAATTTTAGGCGATCCTCAAGGCGTCTTAGAACTTGGAAGAGAAACATTTACCTTAGGAGAAGTCGTCTCAAGAAGGGATCTTTTAGTATCTGCGACCAAACAGGGTGAAGTGTATCTGATGCTGCCAAAGTCGAAGCCCATTCGTTCATAAACGAGGAAAGAAGCTTATCGGCCTTAATAACAACATCCTGACACATGAAAGTAGAAGTCAGCACGCAGACAAAAGGAAGTGAAAAATACAAAGTAACAAGCAAGTGACGGAGCTTTATCTCTACCTACCGTTTCCACATCAGAACCAGAAATCCCAATCAGCAAGCAAAACGCTTGGACTGGTGCGGTGAGAAAGATGGTGAAAAGGCTACCACTAGGTTGACGAGAGAAATCAGCAGAGATAATCGGAGGAGTATGTGATGGAGACAGTAGCAGTGCGGCTGGTTCTCCTTTCTCCGCTCCACATATATTCTTCAAAATTTAAGTGAAAACAAAATTTACCAACCATAAGTATTCCAAATGAATCTTAACATAAGAAAGATGGACTCGGATGTACTTACCTTAAAAACTGTGCTGCTGTCACTGTCAATTATTATGAAAAGAGGTTTCCTTGTGAATGGAACTAAATCAGAGGGATAGATGTAGCTTGGTCCTGAGGGAAAGACAATTTTCAGATAAAGTTCAGGGAGACTAATAAAAAAGCAAATTCTACATTTCCTTGTTTCCATGAAAAGAGATTTAGAAATTTCGGCAGTTTCAGAGTTGAACGCCTCATGCGCGAAAAAAACTCTCTAACTGGATTGATCACAATGGTCTAAGTTTGCCCAAGATTATTGTTTCACAAGTACCTTTCTGCCCTCTACAAGATATCCGTATATTACATTTTCCTGACATTGCTTGATATTATTACTTAGTGGGTCCTCTCTCTATTTTTAAAGGATGCTTTATAGAATCAGCCTCCCGCATGCATATTGACTAGTGTGATAGTATTAGATAGATGATTACATGAAAATTTCAAAAAAAAAATTGGAGTGGATACCTGTGAGCCCATGACTGCCAAAACACAAACCACATGCGTCCTCACTGATTTGCCCCAAAGACTGACCAGGTCTGTCACCAGATGGCGTTATTTGAAGTGATAGGTCTGCCTCTGGTTTGATTGTGTGAGACTCAAAGTCTCTCAAAATATTTTCCTCAATGCTGGTTATACTTCTAGCACTCAAAGGAGATAGTGAAGTCTGTCCAATCTTTCCTGAATGAAACGTAAATGTTAGAAGCTAAGGAACTAAATATTCTAAACAGAAGAAGCATAATACACACATTACCAGAAGCAGACAGATATAATAAGAGTACGCCATTAGAAGGAAGCTCCTCGCAAATGGTGGCCAAAACCTACCAAAGATAAAACAGGGCACATAATGATGCTCCAGAAAGCCAATGATTTCAGTCATATGAGCAAAAAAAACGCTGATTAATATCTGAAAAAGAAACTAAAATAAAACTAAATTCAACTTACAGCCAAGAAATGTGTTACGGATGGACGATAAAGGACCGCTTTGCGAGGGTTAGGTGGCAAAGTAGGATCAGTCATGTTCTGGGGGTTTATACGAGCAAGTCCAGTGGGCGTATTCTGACCCATTTTAGCACCAGTTGACTGATATAATGAACCACTCGGTTCCCACTCTAAGCATTGAAGCATCCTGAACGAATCTAGCGTGAGCTCAGAATACTTAACCTGGTGGAAATCGTACAGCAAGGTAAATTTTAGACGGTAATAATAATAAATAGGCATTCAAACTAAACATGTACAATTAAATCATTACCTCATTGTAGTGATAACTGCTCAAGATTGCATCCGTCAACCTTAGAGACCTACTTGAACGCGGTGTACCAGCATCCAGATTAGGATCCAGCACAAGACTGTATCTTAGAGGCCTGATGTTCATAAAAGCAGTGTCAGATTTCAGATATCTAACTATTTCCTGCGCCAGCACCTTCCATTCTTTGAAATCAGTTTCCTGAAAACACGAAAAGTTGTTTTTATAGTAGACAATGGAAAAAAATGGGAAAAGAAGACATCTAATTTGATAGTCGAGAAGCATTTTAGGTCATCATATATATCAAGAAGCATGAGAGATTACGTCAAACAGAGCTAACTTATATATCCCTAAGAAGACCTCTATGATACCCTGTCTCTTCATGTACATTTGATTATACCTCTATTCAGTTTCATGCTACACTACCCTATTTATATATCAGAGCCACTATAAATTACAGTTCAACAAGGAAGAAACTTATGTTTGTGACACTAGCTGTTTGAATAGAAAGGAAAAAAAAAACAAATCATGTAAGCCAATTCAAGGCACTAAGGGTTACTTGACATACGGAAACAGCGTGAAACAAAAACCAATACAATCCATCCGCAGAGAGTATCATCAATGTCCATTAACACAATAACCTACAAACATTATCAAGTAGGCGAGATGGGGAGGATAGGTTTTCAGAACAAAACCTGGAAAGTTCTCTTGCATTCATCTATCAACCGTCTGAACTGCTCCACGAGTTGATGCACCATCTCTCGGCGGCCGAGGACCAAACACACCATAAGAAACCTTGCAAGGAACCGTAGCTGTTTGTTTGCAATATTGAGATCCTGAAACAGTCCATCTTTGAAGTACTCCCTGGTGAGAATTGCTTCGTAGAATACATAGGACTCGGACAAGTAACCCGCATCACTTGTTCGCATGTAGTGTCCATAGTAGAGCTGCGCAATTCGAGACGCGATTTCTCCAATCTCCCATCTCTTAAGTCCAGCTTCTAACAGCTTCTGCCGATTTTCTTGCTGAAACTTCCATAATTGAGTGTATACCTTGAATACCTTGAAGAAGTAGTTTTCGTACCTGAAAACAGAATGAACAATTCCATGAACAACAATTTTATCACAACAATTTTATCACGTATTGATTGTTCTATGTTCTGGATTCTTTATCCATATCCATCCTATTTTTCTCATTGTCTCAAATCCACAAGACTGTGTACATTTTTCCTTCCAGCGTTAACAACAAATTTCATAGAATCAAAGGAATAAAGACGAAGAACAAAAGCGACATAATTGAAATTCTCAATTTCACAGAATTTCGCAACGGAGCAGAAAGCAAATCAAAATCGGAAGTTGAACCTGCTGCGTTCATAGAACGGCAAGTCTCTGATCTTGGAGAATTTTTTGTCTGCTTTGTTAACGAGAGACCAGTAAACTTCACTCAGCGGGATATTGTTACCGCTGATTAGCTGCGACATTTCTGAGAAATCTTAACGAATCAGTCACTCTTGAGACGAAGCGAGATAATCGGAGGAGGACCGTTCGCCGTTCCTACGCGATCGGAGTTTTTGGTCGTCGTCGTCTTCTAGATTCGGCGATTCGGCTTTTGGAAAAGTAAAATCTTGTACCGAGCGGTTTACACGAGTAAATCAGTCTGACAGTGAAATGTTCAATCGAATTAAAAATCTTGTGATGGGCCGGGCCAGGCAAGGTTAATCCAGTTGACATTTGGTGTTCAAATCCGGTTCGATTATGATAACTTTGTTTATTAGGCCTAACTTTTGTTTATTACCATTTTTAATATACAACTAGATATCTAAGCTATTTTATACATGTGTATTTGATTTTTTTCTCAAATGTGAAAAAACATTATTATCGTTTACTGATATCATGTTACTTTCTTTGTTAAATTACAAAGATTTGGGATGTCCAATCCTAATTTGTAATTAGTTTTGTAAGTTGATATCATTTTGATCCAAAGTGAAGCTATAAGACTTTCCGTTGGGAAGCGATGTTCAAAAGAAAAGAGTAAAATGTGAATTTCAACAAGAGTTGAGTTAATGCTACTTCTTGCAATTTGCCTATTCTAATAATTATTAAAAATAATTAAAATTTATAAAATAACAAAGAATTTTGAAATTTGTATTATATAATTGAATTACATCGTGACGGTTATTTTTGCAAAATATGGAAATGTGATGGGTTTTAATTTTAGAAGACCCGAAGAATAATTGTTAGATGCTTTCCTGATAGATTGACTGAGAAACACAACAAGACAAACAAAAATCAAACAAAAACAAATCCGATGTCCTTAAATTCGAGCTTCGTTCGACGGCTTAAACACGATGGATGACAATCGGAGCTCTGATCCAGTCAAGAGGTATTTACTGTTTTGCAACTTTGTGAGATTTCAAGCAGCGTTTATATATTTAGTGATTGTGTTCTCGATCTCTCCTCTCTATAGGCATGAGATTGAAAAAGAAACTGGTGCTTCGATGAAGCTCGAAGAGAATAGTGGCAAGCTAATTCAAGATCCTGAGGAAATGGTACTGATTCCTCGGTCTCGGTTTTTTGAGATTCTTATGCGAGCTCTCTTACTGATATTGAGCTTAAAAAAAGCAGGCACTTTACTCAAAAGCGAGATCGCAAGAAGAAGAGATTCACAATCTCCAGGAACAAATTGCTGCTGCTTGTTTGAAGGTATATATAGCAGATAACACATCATGGTCACGTGGATGTTTCAGATGAACGAACTTGCTCAAGAACTGAATTGCATCTTTGATTTCAGGATATGCAGCTGCTCAATGAGAAGTGTGGGTTAGAGAGGAAATGTGCCGATCTCCGTGTGGTTTGTCTTTTTTGTTAGAAATCTATCAAGATTGATGGAAAGTGTTCATCTTTGGCTTCTGGGTTTGACTAAAAGCCGTTTCTTATTCCTTAGGCAATTGATGAGAAACAAAACGAATCTGTTACGTCGGCGTTGAATGAGTTGGCTCGTAGAAAAGGTGATCTTGAAGAAAACTTGAAACTGGCACATGATTTGAAGGTATTTTGGCTTGCCTACAAACCTCAGATCTCTGAAATTCACTGCCTTTTAGGCTTTTAACCTCCTGTGTTTACTTCTCTCGCTTGCTATCTTTAGGTTACAGAAGACGAGAGGTATATCTTCATGACGTCCTTACTTGGTTTACTAGCTGAGTATGGAGTTTGGCCTCGTGTTGCAAATGCTACTGCTATATCCAGCGGCATAAAGGTAAATTGCTTTCACTACATCTTTCTTTAGATTTATACACTAAAACAATCTTAATGTGTAATTTTTTTCTTGGTATGTAGCACTTGCATGACCAGTTGCAATGGAAGATTAAAGCTTGCAATGTAAGCTCTCTGTCCTTTTAGTTTCTGGATCGAACAACCGAGAAAGATTCTCAATTTTTATTGTATTCACACACATATCTTTAGTTTATTGTTTTCTGCATCTCTCCTTTGGCCTCATTAGACTTCTCCAGGATTGTAAATACTCTTCTTGAATGGATTCCTTTCGAAACTTGTTGTGACGACATTTTTAATAGCAGGATAGGGTTAGGGAATTATCATCCGTTGTGGAAACTCAGTCTGGAACAGATTTTATTAGTAAAGACAACCATGATCCCAGAATTTCGAAAGGTCAAGCTTCTTATGGATCCACGGTAGTCTCAGCAAGTAATTTGCTAAAATTACTTTTATCATTTACTCTTAGGAAACGTTTTCCTAAAACATGTGACATCTTTTTCGCTAGAAATCTTACACTGCGTGTTCATATACTACCTCTGATGCAGGATCATGGTAATGATTATCGGACCAATGAACAACTTCTTCCACCAATGGACAATGTTACGAGAAATCCGTATCATAACCTTACGCAAGACAGTGAAAGCTTGAGATTTAATAATCAGATTGGCGGTGGATCACAAGGAATTTCACAGCAGCAGAGAAGGTACGGTGTCATTCTCTCAGTTTTCTGAGCATTTTCTTCATCAGCTTCAGTTTTTCTCATCGCTATTTTGTTGTAGGGAAAGTTTTGGATACGCACTAAGTAGTGTGGCGGGAAAGGAAATGATCCGGGAGAGAGAAGAAAAAGCTGAGAGTTCTTCAATGTTTGATCCTTATCACGGGAATGAAGAATACGCTTCTCATGTTTACGAAGGTTGAAGAAAGAATCCAAATCCTCCATTTGACTGAAGCCTTAGTGGCTGTAAGCTAGAAATCTAACTCTGATCTTAATTTGGAAACAGAGGGACCTGGAATTGATGGATTTCAGATAATAGGAGAGGCAGTACCTGGAGAAAAAGTTTTTGGTTGCGGGTTTCCAGTACGAGGAACCACTCTCTGTATGTTTCAGGTAAAATCTTTTGGTAATAAGAGTCTTTGGAAACAAACTTGGGACTGATCATGTTTCTTTTCCCAACTTAGGACTAACTAAACAGATGAAAACTAATATACTGTATGCCCCGGTTTGTTTGTTTCTTCTTGAAAAGTGGGTTCGGCATCTTGAAGATGGCACGAGGCAATACATCGAGGGTAAGATTTGATTTATATGTCTCTGCGGTTTTCATTCAGCTATTTGAAAACTGAACCTATGGTTTAAAACATTCAGGAGCCACCCATCCAGAGTATGTTGTAACAGCGGATGATGTAGATAAACTGATTGCTGTTGAATGTATTCCCATGGATGATCAAGGTCGTCAGGTAAAACACCTGATCTTTTATAACGTTTGGATCTTCTTGTCTTTAAATTTCTTTCTATTTGATAAATGCAGGGAGAGTTAGTGAGACTGTTTGCCAATGATCAAAACAAGATCAGATGTGGTAATGTATTCTACAGAATCAGACCCGGTTTTTTTGTAGAGAGATCGAGAAAACCTTTTTCACTGTCTCTTATGTTTTTTTTTGCGTATACAGATACAGAGATGCAAACAGAAATCGACACATATATATCCCGTGGTCAAGCAAGCTTTTATGTGCAGCTCCTGGTAAGTTTCAAAACTCAGAGCTTGGATCCATTATCCTCAGCTTTGGATTTAATAACCGTTCTTTTCTTTCCATTTTGTTGATAGATGGACTCAACAGAGAGTTGGGAACCTGCGACGGTTATTTTGAAGAGATCTAGTTACCAGATTAAAACGAACAACGTGGAAGCTGTGGTGATCTCAGAGAAATACTCCAAGGAACTCCTGGTAAAATATTTCTTCATATCAGAGAATCTAAACAAACTTTTTAAAAGAAATTTTTGTTTATATGTTTAAATGAAACATATTGCAGATAAAAGTACCGTGTGGAGAATCAACACAGTTTGTTCTGATAAGTTTTGATGGATCTTCACATCCTATAAGCACACTCAATGTCCGGTACATATATATACACACACCTCTCTCGCAGTTTTAAAGTTACATACAGTAATTTTATTCTGATTTTAACCGCAATTTTACTTTTACAAACTCAGCTCCTAAAATATAATCTTTTGTTTCCGTTTTTTGACAAGCATGCGTGATACGCTAGTTTTGACGATGAGAATGCTTCAAAGCAAGGTATGTTTTGAGAATTATTATTACTGAAACTGAGTAGTTTACTTGATTGCGAAATTATAAACTTTATTTTCGTTTGGCAGGCACTGGACGAGCGCAGAAAAGGACGAGTTTAAAGTTAGTGTGTGACTACAGAACAGATCCATCCTCGAGTCCTTCAATAAACTTTAATAATTCTGCGACTGGGAGTTTTATTTATTTATTATTGAGTAATAATTGTTATAGCTTCTTGTTTGTTTGTCCGAAAAAAAAAAGCTTCTTGTTTTTGTATTGTTTTTTTTTTGTCGTTTAGGTCCTTGTTTCTCTTTTGAGTAAAAAAAAATGTATCTGTAATAGACACTGACATTCACTTTTAGACTGAAGCTAAAAGCGTCAGAATCTTCTTTTTTTGCCGGTGCTTCAAGATGTTAAGATGTTGTTTTTGTTTTAAACTGAAATGTCAAACGTTTTTTACTTATGGCATTCTATTTCAATAACAAACGTTCTTTATTTTCGTGTTTAATTTGTTTGTAATTGTATTATGTGAAATCGTTTGTCCTAGAGAAAATAAAAAGTCAAATCCAGGAAGATAACTATATTTCTTTTGAAATCAACTTAAGAATGTATTTCTTCTAAAACAAGAGATAATACCTCACTTCAGCCAGTTGGCATAGCAACAAAAAAAAGGGACAACTTTAGCCATGTGCAAATATGTGTTATCAATCATCTACATCATATCATATTAAATTTACAGTAATCTTTAACCCATAATTAGATCAACCTTACTATATGATCTCGATTAGTAATTCATATAGAATGACAGGATGACAACTTCTTCTTTTTTTACAGGATGGCAAGTTTACGTACAATAATATGATTTCGTAACTTTTTTTTGTTACACAAATGACAACTTTTCCAACACTAATTAATATGATCAATTAAATACTTTTAATCGAATCTTTTTATATTTACTCGTTTCATGTGTATATGTTATTTTATAAGACAGCTCGTTGGAGAGTTCCCATCAATCGTCCTACGAATAATAATTTATGAAACAATTTTTTAAGTGTTTTTTTTTTTGGTAAGGACAATTTTTT